CACACACACACACACACACACACACACTTCTGCTGTCTCCCCGATCCCTCAACACACACACACACACACACACACACACACTTCTGCTGGTGGCGATGGCTTTGGAGCAAACAGGCCAGCAGCTGCCAGCTTGCAACTCTCCCCTACCCATCTACCTGGGCCTCCCTTTACCACAGTTTTTATTTTTGGTGATCTCTTGGAAAAGGTCACTTTGCATTACTGGTTTTGTTTTGTTTTTAAAATCTTCTTCACCGCTTTCATTGAATTCCCCACTTTTGTGGACCTGAGTAGTCTTTTAGCAAATACACTTCTAGAGAAGTCCTTGCTTCTTCCTGATTGTTCCCTTTAATGCCTCGCCTTCCCAGATATGAAGCAGGCGGTTATGCAAACCCAAGTGAGCTGCACTCTCAGAACAGCCAGTTCACTGCAATCGGTTCGTTCTCACCTTCTCGTAGCTTTTGCAGAATATATTTCTGCTAGGAGCTAAAGTCATAGAGCATTATTTAAAAATCAGAACCTTCGTTTGTGTCCTGTTCGGTGTCCTCAGTAAGTGTGGGGTACTAAATATAAGAGAGGTTTGCACCCAGAGCACTCAGCAAACACATGCATGCCAGCATCCTGTCCCTTTCCTGCAGCAGTTCTTTCATCAGAGGCTGCTAATGGAGTCCTTAGTGACCCAGATCACCTGCAGTAATTCACTCCTGTTAAAAGCCTGTGGATGCTCTGGTGTCAGATGGGCCTCTGTATGTTGGTTCTGGCCATACACCTTCTTTGGGGGGGCACCGCTCAGGGAATTTCAACTACAAGCAGACACTGACTAGCTTCTGTTTACAAGAGCCTTTTTCTCTTTAGGTAAATCACTTGTCAAAGAGGCACCCAGACATGAAGATAGAAGAGGTGCCAGAGTTAACCCTGCCCATCATAAAGCCCAACCGAGATTACTTCTGTCAGTATTGTGATAAGGTGAGGCCTACCCTTCCCATGCTGGTTTTTCCGTGCAGGGGCCCTGCTGAGGGCCACTTTGCTTGCATGTGCTACAAACACACACTAGGATTTTGTACTTGCTTTTTTTTCCATAAAAAAGCTGACATGGGCCCTCCCTGGTGGCGCAGCAGGTTAAAGCACAGCACTGAGAATCTAAAGACACTTCTGCATGAGTTCGATTCCCACCTGCCCCGGAGGTGACCACATAGCGTGGCAGACCTCTCCTGACCTGCCCGCTGCTCCCCTCAGCAGTGTACTTCGTCGATCTGCCTTTTCTGCTCCCCACTCTGTCTCTGGTGAAGCCTCTCATCGCCCCTGAGCTTCTGGCCTGTACCCCAGGTCTGTATGCACAAATAAATTAACTTTAAAAAAAAAAGCTGACATGTAGGCCAGAGGTACAGGGGGGTGAGATGATTCACCAGAGAGCAGACCAGGTGGATTTTCTGAAATACACTGCTGAGGGGAGCAGTGGGCAAGAGGGGACAGGTCTGCTGCTCCATATGTGGGCCAGCTCCCTGGCTGAGGATCAAATTCAAGCCATAGAGGTGATAGTGCTTAGACATAACCCCTAGGCCACTGGGGAGCCCCTCGCACTTACGAGTAACAGATAGCTCCCACTCTCTCAGTAGTTTTCCTTTCAGACAAGAAAGGGATAAATTGCAGCTTCTTTTTAAGCAATTTTGTTTAAGAATTAGTTGACTCTGTTTTGTGTGTGAATTTTGCTATAAAGCACAAGGCTTATTACCAAGAACTTACTTAGTCTGTGAATTCATTTTAAATTCCCAAGATCTAGAATGAAAGTATTTAACATCCTACTTATATGTGGTAGATTTTGAATTCCTTTTCTTTTTTTTTTTTAAAGATTTATTTATTTATGCATGTAGAACTGGGGTACAAGCCAGAGGTGTGGGGGTGGTGAGGGCATTCACCAGAGACAGAGTGGGGAGCAGAACAGTTAGACTACAAAGTACACTGCTGAGGGGAGCAGCGTACAAGACAGGAGAGGCCTGCTGTGCCACGTGGGTCACCTCCTATGCCATGTGGAGTTCGAACTCATGTCGAAACGGCTGTTGATAGCTTTGCAGTGCCACCAGGGAGGGCCCTCGATTTTGAATTTTGAATTTCTAAAAGGGTGGTGTGGTGGAATACTCTATTTGTATTATTTCATTCTTTATTTTTGTATAGCCATAAAAAAGGCAGAAAGAGAATCTACAGTTATTGGTCCTTTGTAATATCATTTTCTTATACAGTGTAGCGGAGTCAGCTTAAAAGAAAGAAATACGTGTATTTTTAAGCCTAGATTAGCAGATACTCATTGCTATTAGGCTTGCCATTTTGGAAGATTCTTTGGCATCTTTTAGTTAACCACGTATGTCATATGAGAGCTTTCACAGAAAGACTTAAAGGATGAAGTAGCCTTAGAAACAATTTTTTCTATAACGATTTGCCCACCTTTTAAACTTAGGGTAAAGATTATTTTCACTATGATTATCCATTAGGTATTTAAATTCAAGGAAGATGTCTTAGCATATCTCTATTTAATCTTTTGTTAATTCTAGTAAATATATATTATATCCTTATTACCTTCACTTCATTTGTTGGCCTATGTTATTCTGGGCTACATGAATACAGTTTTTCTCATTTCCTTTTATGAAATTGGTAACTTGCTTTAAACAAGGAAGGGGAACTGGATACTGGATTCATGCTAAAACATTGAATGTGCAGGTATATAAAAGTGCCAGCAAGCGAAAAGCTCATATTCTGAAGAACCACCCAGGAGCTGAGCTCCCACCAAGCATTCGGAAACTTCGCCCTGCTGGCCCGGGAGAGCCAGACCCCATGCTGAGCACCCACACCCAGCTCACGGGCACAATCGCCACCCCTCCTGTCTGCTGCCCTCACTGCTCCAAACAGTACAGCAGCAAGGTATGGACTAACTGAATGAGAGCCTCCTCTTAGGAGGGGAGGACTTCTTATGCAGGCGCACTGATGGCTTCTGAATTGCTGGGGACTAAAGGAGTTGTTTCCTAGTTTAGATGAAGATGAGCTATTCCCTCAGCACAGGGACTGTAAGTCCAGAATGGCAAGGAGGAGGTGGATTTTCCCTAGAATTAGCACCATCTAATAGCTGAGCGCACATATTTTCCTTCTCCGTTGACCAGCTGAGGACCTCATATTTGGATATTACATTCTGTTGATGAACTCAGGCACGTAAAAGTACAACCTATGAACTCAATGAACTGTTCTTGAAAGGGAGGTTATTCTTGCTGGGGGCTTTTGATCGATTGCCGTGGATATTAGTGGGATTTGGGGTTTCTGTGACGTAGTCCCACTTTGCCTGATGGCGTGGAGTTAGGTGAATCTTGAATTTATTTTAGCCTCATTTCTGCCCCTCCCCGCCCCCGCCATAACATTGTCACACTCTAAAAATCAGAGTCAGTGTTGCTCTGACTTTTTAAAAACCACATCTTCAGGTACCTTTGGTTGATTTTTATATTGGAGAAAGATTGAGAATAACTTATTCTAATAATTATTCCTGGCTTTTGCCTTGATTTTCCAGACCAAAATGGTGCAGCATATTCGAAAGAAGCATACTGAGTTTGCTCAGCTCCCTAACACCTTACATACGCCACTGACAACAGCTGTGATTAGTGCTACCCCTGCCGTTTTAACTACAGACAGTGCCACTGGAGAGACTGTGGTGGTAAGTGTGTGATGGCTTCTTCAGTGTCCTTCACAGCTTTCAATACTGAAGCCACATCTATCTAGCTATGTCATCGGCTGCAAATGTAACCCGTTGCTTCTTGTGTTTACACTGGGGGTTGCCTGGGTCTCCTAGTTGATGCCTTGCAGCGCTCTCTGTGAAGGGATAATAGCAAAGATGTTCTCAGCGCTGCTCATTTGTGCAAGGTCTTCAGAACCTTCAGCGTATCACCATTGGGTCTGACACAGACAGATAAAGGTAATTTTCCAACATCCTACAACTTCAGAGTTCTATCTGGGTTCCCAGCTAATTTTTAGTTCTGTGATCCACCAGTTAGACAAATTGAATTTCTATAGGATTGAAGCGCACCAAAGTGTCCATAAGCAATTGAGTAGTACTGTTCGTAACAGCACTACTAATGTGTGATTTTTCTAGACGACAGACCTGCTCACCCAAGCCATGACGGAACTGTCCCAGACCTTAACAACAGATTACCGAACACCACAAGGGGACTACCAGAGAATCCAGTACATCCCCGTGTCACAGTCCACGTCTGGTCTTCAGCAACCTCAGCACATACAGCTTCAAGTGGTACAGGTGGCCCCGGTATGTATTGCGTTTCTCTGGCATTGAATGACTTATATCAGTAGGAGGTTGCAAAGAGTGATTTTGATTCATTCTCTGAACATCAGATCGTATTAAAATAGAGGTATAATGGTATTCCTTATACCAACATAGGGAGTAGCTCATTCTTGCTGGCTAGAAGTTTAATGAAGGTCTCCTCCAAGAACTATTGTTTCACTTAATTATACCACAGAAGTAACTCCAGGCACAAATGAACACACTTGTAGCTTTGAAATAATTTTGGTGTCTGAAATTTTAAATCTAGTATCAGAGTAACTAGTTGGAAATTGTTGCTGTCATTGACCATCAGGCTTTGGAAGAATCCATTCATTTTTTTAAAATTCATTTTTATTTTATTAAAATTAAAAAATATATACATTAATTATATCACCCTTCACTTTTGTACAATGTATGGTTTCCCTGTGAAATTTCCACCACAAATTCCCTGTGCACCAATAGTCACTTGTGTCCTTCCCACTCTTATCCTGGTCTTTCTCCCTCCTCCTTCCATATAGAATGTCTCAGCTCTATAGTTGCCTGATGATTTTGATTTTTACTTTATTATAGTTACTTTTTTTTTCCTGATTCCTTTTTTGTTTTCTCTACACTTCTCCTATAAACGAGACCATTGATATTTTTCTTTTTCTTTCTGGCTTATTTCACTGAGCACAATCCCTTCCATCTCCATCCATGTTGCTGTGAAGTGCACGAATTTATCCTTTTTGATTGCTGAATAATATTCCATTGTGTAAATATACCACATCTTCTTGATCCAGTCATCTATTTTGGGTAGCTTCCATAGCTTACCTATTAGAAATTGTGCTGCAGTAAACATAGGGAAGCAGGTGTCCTTTTGCATTAATGTTTTTGTGTCCTTTCGGTAGAAGGAATCTATGAATTTTTGAAGTTGTCTATAAAATATATAATTTTGGAGAAAGAATATTTACTTTAGCTCAATTTCCAAAGATGTTTATTGCACATAAAAGTTTATATAAATGGTTTCACTGTATTAGTAGAACAACTAAAAACAGATTTTTCTGTTTGATTTCTTATAACTGACCAAGGGTAGTTTATTATATTTCATTGCTTTTTAAGGGAGACAATTTTTGATTCCTGAGAGCTTCTCATCTAATTTCTCAATAGGAGTTATAGTCCCTCTATTTCCTTCTTTTCCAGAATTAAATAGCATCAGTAGCTTATGTTTTAGATGCACACATTTTTATTTCATTTCAGGTTTTTAATTTATTAATGCACATATATATCCATCAATGTGTAATACATCTTTGTCTCTGATCCACAGATGTTTTGCAATACTGCCACTTCTATTTTTCCCTCAGCGTATTGAGGTTCATGTTGATGTGTAGAGGACTGACTTGCTTTAATTTTCATAGCCTTCTATTGCTGGTACTGTCAGTCCTGGAGTTCCTTGCTAGACCTTTCCACCTAGTTCCTTTCCACCTCTGCAGTCTCATGGTGCTCTTGATTTCTGTTAGGTTTTTATATCTTCGTCTGTGCCTTCCCGAGTGTCTTCTTTCCTTATACTCAGCACAGATTTTGACATCTTAGAGGTTGAATGTTGTCACTGAAGTCCCGAGGTAGCCTCAGCCATGGCCCAGCACAGACTTGCCTGGCCTGGAGACACTGTGTACCAGGATGGCCCAGAACCACCTTTTCTGACAGCTGGGCTGGATCTCTGCGCACCCCACTGTCTACTTTAAAAACTGTCTTCTCTCGTGTTTGCCAGCTTGTTTGTGGCATTGTTAGCAGCGAAGCATTGGATTTGAGGTTTCGTCTGTTCTTATACTTCTGTTGGAGTATTGTTTTAGCTGGGTTTTTCCATCGGGAGGACTTACCTTCACCTTCATCAGTGTGCCTTTGGTCTCTTCCAGGCCACGTCCCCTCACCAGTCTCAGCAGTCCACGGTGGATGTCGGCCAGCTCCACGATCCTCAGACCTACACCCAGCATGCCATCCAGGTGCAGCACATTCAGGTCACGGAGCCTGCCCCCTCGGCACCGTCTTCATCCCAGGTACACTGCTCCATAGGCTACTCACAGAGTTTAATGTGAGGGACCTAAATGAGTGAAGATGCATTACCTTCAGACCGAGTCTCCTTCACTGCTATTCCTGGAGCTTAAAGAGCCTTACCCTCGCTTCCAAACTTTATAAGGTATTTCGGACATCCTTTCACTAAGGGACTAGCTTCTTCTCCAAATGGAAGCAGTCTGATGTCCTGGAGAGAGCACTGGCCTTTGCTTCAAATTCTGAATGTCTGTCTGGCAGCAGGCAATGGCTAAGTTTATATAATTTTGGAATAGTGACTTTGTGGTGTGTCATTGCATTTATGGGATTAAATCTATGATTGAGATCACTTAGCAATGTCTGTGCAAAACATATTTATGAATTTCTTACCCTTAGCATGGAGCTTTTCTAGGTCTGTTCCTTAAGGAGTTTTGAGACTAGTAAGGATAACACACATGTACAAGAAAATAGATGGGAAGTGAAGGTATCCATGTCATACCTGATATTTGCAGGTCCTAGAATAAGAGTACAAATGTAGTCCTGTGTGATATGTCTGAGTATTTTAAAAATTTGACTCAAACTGACAAATCATTGAATAAAATGTGTTCTATCTCGACCCGTACTTTTCATGATGCCAAAGTAGAAAATACATGCAAAATAACACCCGATGCTAAATAACGTGGACAGAGCCTGTTTTATGTCAGTTGTGTTTTCCACCAAACACCAGAAATGGCACGGACAGCCTGGTGGCAAGAAGTGGGGAGAAAGGATCCCCCCGCCTTGGCTGCCTCTGAACCCTTCCAATTGCCCTGGAAATCCACAGGGTAAACACTCATTTTCTTGGCCTTCATGCTGATGAAGTGGAAGCCAGGCCTCTGTCCTGCACCAATGAGGGCCAAGGTATACCCACGTGCACGCCCTGACCCCCTTGTCTCAGCTTCAGCCACAACCTGGCCCACCACATTGCTGCAGAGAATTCTGAGCATCCTTTCGGATCTTCCAGCCTCTTAAAAGTGTGATGGTAGTGGGGAACTTGGGGCCCTTTGTGGACAGAGACTGAAAGGAGTAAGGCGAAACCCCAGCTGCTCTGCCTCGCCCTAGGAGGAGCATCAGACAGCAGAGCCTCCGTTCTTTTTCTTTTTTTATTTTTATAATAGTTTATTTTCACATCATTTTGTGCATTTTTTCATCTCAGTTGTAATCCCCGTGGGCTTCCCATCACCAAGTCATCCTGTGAGAGCCTCTATTCTTGTTGAAAATGCTATTTCCGCATTGATGCTTTTAGCATTGTGATTACATTAGCCTGATGTATTTTTGCCGTCATTTGTGAGTCCCTACTAGAAATTCCTGGATGCTTACTCTTGTTCTCACCTTCTAGGTAACGGGGCAGCCGCTCAGCCCCTCCTCTCAGCAGTCTCAGCAGGGGCTCAGCCCCTCCCAGATACAAGGCAGTGCTTCTGCACAAGGCCAGGCTCTCCAGCCGCAGCAGCCTCAGCCGCAGCAGCAGCAAGGCGCCTCTGTACAGCACACGTACCTCCCCAACGCTTGGAACTCCTTCCGGGGCTACTGTGAGTAAGAAGCATGGGGGAAATGCTCTAAGTCACGGGGGGCAGGGGGGCGAATTTGCAGCCATGGGCCATAATTTCATCAGCTTTAGGATGGATTTTCTACACACTGGTACATGTCCTTGAATGAGTCTCATGGCCACATTCAAGGCAGCATTCAGGTCACAGAGAGCTGCACGTTGCAGATGTCAGGGATGTTGCTAGCAGGTACATCTGCAGGCTTGAATGCAAACTAAGGTGGGTGCTGATGGAAATGACTCATCTCTTCTACTGACATTTACTGAATGCCTTTGTATCAATCACTGTGCTAGAACCAGGGTAGAAACAAGGGTAATACTAGCATTCATATCACTGACATCACTCAATAATACCTTGGCCAATGTTCATTAAGCTCTTACTGTGAGCCAGGAATGATTCTAAACCACCTATGTATCATATTCATTAGTCACAGCATCCTATACATTTTACTGTTACTTGCAGTTTACAGGTAAGGAAGTGTAGACATGAGTAACTTGTCCAAGGTGCATAGTTAGGAAATGATAGGCTGGAACACAGGCACAGGCACCGTGGTTCCAGAATTTATACTTCAAACCATCCCACTGTGCTGCTTCTCCTGATAGTCTTAAGCTCAGAGAGCACATTACTTAGTAAAAATTATCTAGTTCTACAAGTAGTTGATTACAAAACCTTGAGATACATGCTATAGAAGCAATAGAAGGCTGGCTGTCAAAGGTCTCAATAGGTGAAAATCTTGGTGGAGATGATTGCTTTGGCTAAGAGCTAGAAAGTCTGAGGTTGTTGAGGAATGTGTAGGACAGAGATAAAGGTAATAGACTTCAGTAGACTTTTGGAGGACTAGGGGCTGAGAAAGTAGGAAGACCAGTCTTGGTTTTCTCCTGTTACTGATTTCTTGGATCCCTCTGTTATGCTTGAGCTTTAAGGGTTGTAGAGTTGATAGAGAGCAAAGCTCAAAGATTCTACCTCTTAGGAATGTTTACAATCTGCATTCTTAAATATTGGTGGTCACACTGAGGGCTGAGTGTAGTTTCCAGCCAGTGAAAGCTTCTACTCATGCTCAATGCCAGTGGAATCCTGATAAACAGAGTACACATTTATCCAGAGAAGGCAATTCAGTGAAGGAAATGTAGACTAGTGCAGCTAGCCATTGTTATGATAATATGAGCTAGCATTTAACCTGAAGAAAAGACTAGAAATAAAATTTTTTATTAGAGAGAAATGTTACAATATACAAAAATACAATAGTGTAACAGCACCCTGTACCCACTCTGCAGCTTGAAAACTTACTAGCACATGGCTCGGCTCGGCTCATATATAAGTGTGTCACTTTCCTAGTTCCCCAACAATATGATAATCCATGTAATTGCATCCACATATGCTTTCGTATGATTCCTTACAACAAAAGTTCCAACAGCTCCAACTCCTGGAAATTATATAGTATTGCAAATCAGTAAAATTTTTGCTTATAAAAACCTCTGGTGTTATTATCACATCTAAAAATAAGTGGCAGTAATAGTGTGTTCAAATTGCATTCCAAATGAGGAGCCCATTACAATTGTAATGTCTTCTCAGTTTTTTTTTTAATGTGCATTCTCTCTTTCAAGTTGTAATTTACATATTGAAGAAAACTTGGGTGTTTATTCTTTAGTTTCCTCTGTTCTGGATTTTGCTGTTGGTGTTCTTATGTTATCATTTAAGAGACTTTCTTCTGTTCCTTTTATTTCCTGTAGACTGGCTGTTAGATCCAAGGTCTTGATTAGACTCAGGTTCAGTTTTACTCATAGCTGGTGTGCACTTCCCTCAGGGCACGTAATGTTGTCTCTCTTTTTACTCTGCTGTAATATTTCATTTGAGATTGCAAAGTTGATATATTCTGACTCTGTCATCTTTATTCACGTGTTAGCTAGGAACTTTCTATAAAGGAAAACTTTGACTTAATTACCAACTTTGATTTTAATTACAGGTGTGGCAAGAGAAATGCTTTAAATACCCAGTTCATTTCCTTTATGTACCAGTTTTCAAGATAAGTGTTTGTTAGTATTAGCAAACGTGACCCATGAGGATGTGTGTGTGAGTTTGGCTTTGCGTCATTATATGCTCATGGATTTTAGCCCATCCGACATGTTTCCAACCATTGTAGTTGTTATCTTGCTTGATGTTTACATCATCTCCTCTTTGACCAATGGGAACATCTTCAAATGCACTCCACAATCTTTCCCAGTTGTCTGTCATAGCTTCCTGCTTGCTGGTATTACACTGAGTTCTGGGCTTATCTCACATATTTCTACCTCAGGTCTGCAGTTAGCCATGTTCCCAGGAAGCTCTGCTTCCGCTTGGTTGACAGTATTATTTAGGGACTAGCAACTGGGCATGACGGTGAACTTTGGTTTTAATTTGCTTTAATAACACTGGGGCAAAATTAAATTCAAGTTTGGTTGAACTGTAAATGCTAGGCAGTAGTGGGTACATTGTGCCGCTAATTCAAGTGTAATTAAAAGAGAAAATTTACCTAACAGATAAATCTGTGTAACTTATTTGAAGTTTTAATGGAATTATTGAATATTTATTTACCTTTATTGATATTCAGAAGCCATATTTGAGGGTGAGGCATTTGATTATTTATGATATTTGGTATCTCTCTTACTAAACACCTGTGATTGGCTCTTATCAGTGAGAGATGCTTTCACCATATCAAGAAATCACATCACACATGACTTTAACAGCAAGGAAATTCATGAGAAAGGTCTCACTGGAGAAGGCATCATTGCTATGTTGTTGTTTTTTTTTTTTCCTACAGTGTGTATTAGAATCTGCTGCCACTTACCTGTGGATATTTCCTGTTTTTCAGCATCCGAGATTCAAATGATGACACTCCCCCCTGGTCAGTTTGTAATTACGGATAGTGGTGTGGCAACTCCTGTCACCACTAGCCAAGTGAAGGCGGTCACTTCGGTAAGCTCTGCTGCTGGGGAGGGTGTCCTTGTCTACCACCCTGGACTACTCTCTCTCCCCTTTGAGACCACGCCCACCTTTCCATGTTTGAATTAGAAGTGCCTCTGTATTCCATCAACACCTTGTGGTGCTGCATTATAACTCATTGCAGTTCTTTATAATTATTGGTTTACTGTCTTTTCTCAGTAGATGATTAATTCCTTTAAAGCTGGGTCTTGGTATTTACCCTCAGCCTCTTTATCTTCTTTATCCTTTATCTCTTTATCTTCAGTGCCTTGCCCAGGAGGATGAGATATAGCAAATGTTCAATGTTTAATTGAAAAGTGTGTTGAACCTCCTAGATCTGTATGTGTGTGCAGATCGCCTCTTTAGATGCTTCTTGGAAAGCATATGAGTTCTTCATGACTGCTGATCCTTAGTTGAGTTGGAGAGAATAAAAAAAATGAATCCTTTATGGAGCAAGCACATTTTTATCTTCATTGATTTGTTCTGGCTTGTCTATAGGTTACTAGAAGACAGAGTATATATAAATTTAAACTAAATAACAATAACAGACTACGGTTATTGGAATGTCCCCAGAGGAAGATTGTTTCCTAAGAGGCTTGAAAGAGTAGCAGGGTCGTCTAGTGGCCTCAAAAATCTGATCAAATTATACTGAGAGCTCACCTATGTATTTGCACATAAACTCACATTAACTGAACTTGGGAGAGATCTCTGAATCCAGACTAACAGTATTGTAGCAAAAATAATAACTGATGTGACGTGGAATAGTTACTGGTATACCAGTGAAATTTTTGCTCTCTGTAGGGTCTGTTGATTCTTCATACTCTTTTTTGATCGGAAACTCATTTGGGAATCTTAATATAGACAAGGATGTTCTCCTGCTGTCACAGTGCACATTCTCACACATTTAATGTATGTTTTCAGGGCTTCCTGGACATCAGCATGTGGGCTGCCTAGGGGTCATTGGATCATAGGTTGAGAACCAGCCCCCTCTTGCTAGAGAAACCACAGCATGGTCGGAGCTGTCTGCTGAGCTTGGGCACATGAGCATGAGCATCAGAACGTGCAGCCCGAGAGGAGCCAATTGGTGTTCGGCTGTGACGTTCTATGTGGACAGTGCTTGGCAAGGCAGTTACTGCCCGAGTTTCCCCTGTGACTAATTTTTTTCCCAGGCTGTGTAGCTTGACCAGTCTCCTTTCAGAATGACGATTCTTTCTTTAAAAATAAGCATAAGGAAATAGCGAGCTAACAACAGAGCAATGAAGTTTTCCCAGAGGGAAAATAAAGACAAATATGGTTTCATAAAGCTCAACGTAGTGTAAGGGGTGTTTTTCTAAGATCCCATGCCTTTTAGTATTAAAATATCTCTCACTTAACGGTAGCATTTTTAAAGTTATGTTACTTAATATAATAAAAGTTGGAGGCCTTTATTATAACTTAATTTCATTGGGCTTTGAAATTCAGATGTCTGAGAAACATTGATTTTTACCGCCTTTCTTCGGGAGTTGGGTTTGCATTGGGCCTCTTTAAGGAAACAGAATACTTCTTTGATCCACTGTGCTTTTAGCTTTATATTTAAGACTGATGATAACAAGCCTAGAACGTTCAGATGCTGAGGAACAACACAGTGGCACACCTTCCCTTTGCAATGTGGGTTCTCATCATGATTCTATAACTGAAGCTCTTTTCAGCATTTGGTGTAACAACTAAGATATTCCCTTTGTTGGCAGTAAAGTGACCAATGCGTTCTCCCTGGAGGACATACATCACCTCACACAAGTGCCTGTTTTGGTGTTCCCTTATATTAATTCTTTGCAGATTCCTTCTCACTCTCTTCCCCTTCTCAGCCTGTCTCCCTTCTAGGTATCAGGTTTCTAAACATCCTTTTCTTCCCGCTGTAGGGTCATTATGTGTTATCAGAAAGTCAACCAGAATTGGAAGAAAAACAAACTTCTGCCCTCTCTGGGGGAGTCCAGGTTCAGCCAACCGCACACAGTGATTTGGACCAGGCCGCCAGCCAGCAGCAGCCTACACAGTACATCATCACGACCACCACCAATGGGAATGGGAGCAGTGAAGTACATATCACTAAACCCTAACCTCGTCCCTGAACTAGTCAAGCAGTCACGTCGTGTCTCTTCTTGTTCATACCTGAAAGCTTCTGACACTTAGAACCCTTTTTAAAGATTTATCTTTCACTCAAGAGTTTGGAAATCAGTTTCAACACACATACACCAGGGCTTATTTTACCACGGTCATCTTCATCAAGTTGACACTTCTGACCCAGAAGTTTCTACCACGGGATGGAGATCTTTCAGGGGCAACTAAATTTCAAGACGGAGAGACTTTGTCTTACTCATAAGTTGTTGTTATTGTTGTTGTTTTTTAAAACACATTGATAAGCCTTACTTTTCCTTTGTGGAAATATTAAGTGGTGTATTGTGTTTGTACCAAAGGTGAGGAAAGGATGTGCCAAGTCCATGGTCAAGGACTTCTTAATTCCAAGCCCTAGCACCAAAGGAGAAGGGGCTTTTTAATGGGTGTGTCTTAGGTCAGAACTACTTCATCTTGTGAAGTTTGAGTTTTCAGTAATTTAACAAAGGGAGCCAATATTGAGTAAGAAAATAAAAATGATGAAACAAAGACTTGACAGTGATCTTAAGAAAAAAACTATCATCGAAATTTTCCTTATTACTGATTTAAAAAAACAAACTTGTGCTTTTTAGTTTTAAGCCATTGTTGGGCTAGTCCTAGTGCTGTCCACAAACTTTGGCCCTCAGTGGATTAGGCCAGAACCTCATGTTCTGTTAGAGCTTACCTTATCACTCCACAATGGTGGGTTCCCCAAGACAGTGCCCCTGTCAGAAGAGATGAAACTCATACATTAAAGCTTTGCTGATACTGTAGTTGTCTGAGGGAGACATTGGAGGTATCTGTACCAAGAAAAAATACTAAAGGCCCTGAAATCTCGTCCTGCCTTGTAGGATCCATTTACCTTTCACTAATAATGGATAAATTCCTTGTTCTTACCAGATCTACTTTCAATTCTTGCTCACAGCATCCAGTGTATTTTAGTACTTTGAATGCTGTCTTAAAATGAACATTCTTTAAGGTTAGATGGAAAGGTGGTCCTCTTTGTTTCTTAATATTTGGTAAGATGACCAAATTCACACTTAGTTGAAAAATGAAGCATGGGGACCATTCATAATACATTTTAAGAAAATTATAAGGGATTCAGAAGAAATTCAATCTTTATGACTATCAAGCTGTAATTGGAAGAGGTAAAAAAATCTGCCTCAATGATAGTTTTTCTTAAATGTGTTCCTGTTTGGGAGTCTTCTTAGCTATGAATTCAAGGGGGAAAAATAGTTCCCTTTTTACTGTACATTCCAAGTATACACATAAAACATGGAAGAAATCAGTATGTATTTTAATAATCATTTGTGACATACTTACACATTTTTAAAATATTGAGTTTATCATTCCAGGACAGAAAGACCTAACTTCAATTTTAATTGAAGTTAACTAATTTATTTTAATTTACATTTCTGGGTTAAAAACTGTTCTGTAAATTAAGAAGTCTAGTAACTTCTTTATGGTAAAGGTACCTTTCTGAAAAGTAAACAATTCTGTTGAAATAACTTTACTAATATGTAGATTTTGCACTTTATTTTTGAGACCTCATTCATTTAGTTATCCCAGAAAATATGGGCACTAAGAGAACTTAAGAAAGTTACTTGGTGAATGGATTCTGTATCTTTGGCAACAAAGAAGTAATGGTGATGTTTTCAATAGAAAATACTGACTCTGGGTCACAAAACAGAGACTCTGTGACCCAAAGTTCCACAGTGTAATGACTGTAAATATCCTAGTGTCCAGTCAAGAAAGACTTGCTAGGTGAAGAATAGTAGACTTTCCCAAAGGTCTAGTTTAGGTCTTATACCTTAAAGCTGGCCCTGGTGGGGCCTTTTTAATTTGAACCAGCAAAGTACCTCCCCTCCCCTCAGGAATAACTTATTGATTAAAATAGAAAACTATCACTGGATGGAATGTTCATTTCATGTCAGTTGCTTCAAGTTTTAAAATACACAGAAGAAAACATTGTGGGAGGACCTCTTTGTCTTTTTCCCATATAAGTTTGTCTTTTTCCTTTTTGTTTTTTTGTCCTTATGAGGACTAAGTAAGGACTCTAAAACTAATTTGTTTATTATAAACTAGTGGTGCAGGTGGCAGTCAGGCAAAATAATAGTGCTTGAAAATCTGCACATTTATTCCAAGGCTGTAGGACTTGGAGTTGAAGAGATGGTAGAATGAAGCCATCTAAAGACTGACTTTGGGGGAATAAAACGTATGTAGCCAATGTTTATATTGTGGCCTTTCTGAAAACACATTGGCACTGTAGATTTCAGTCAGCACAGTGTGACCGTTTTGGAGTAGGTAACGTAAAATATTACATTTTTATTGTTTGATTTGTATCTGTATAAATGAGACATTTCATCATGTAAAATTCCTGTTATCCTGGAAAAACCTGTCGTTTTGATCTTGAATTGTTTTCTGACTTAGAATTACCCTTTCAAAAAACTTTTTAAGATAGCTAGGGCTAAAAAGCACTCATGAGAGGCTAAAGCTGACCCACAGGTTGAAAATGTTGACCCTATCCTGTTATTTAAATGTGAACATTTATTGTACATTCAGTGAGTTATAGTGTTAATAGTCTTGTGCTACTCAGCAGGTGTAAAAATTAATAAATATTTTTTTTAATAAACATCTTCCTTGTTTGTAATATGTGATGTTAGAAGAGCCTCTGAATTCGTTAAAAATTGTTTTTAATATTCGAATTTACAGTGTGTTTCCTCTTTGCTTAACAACAGCCTGGTCAGAATCCTAAAGTAAGGGAATTTATGAATGAAAACCTGGAAAAGACGCCCCTGGGCGATTTGTAGACTTCTAACTCAGGGACACTTCCCCCAGCCCCCAAGCACGTGAACAGCAACAGCAAAAAAACGGGGAATTGTTTTGGAAACCTCTCTTTTCCAACAAGGAGGAATATTAGTTTGGCCGACACCTCTTCGAGCCGATGGAGAGAACTGTTTCCACTTCGGGTAGGAGTAAGTAGCTGTGGCATTAGTAGTATTAACTCCAGGAAGAAAACAGGGGCCTAGATAATTAACAAGAGCAAAATTGAATTTCACCTAAAATCTGATTTCTTTGGAGCGTGTACTTTCTTGCGTGACATCGAAGGACCTGGCGACCGGATGTGCTAGGGGCACAGGCTCGGTGCGCATTCTCCGCACTGAAAAGTCAAAAAACCGCGGTAGTCTCACCTGTAGAAAGGGAATTAATTACTCGTGCATAGAGCACACATAGGTACAAGTATGCTTTCTGCAAACATTAGCTAACGGAATTGCATTTGCTTCATAGTGGGCGCTGAAGCCTAAATTCGCAGCCTGGCAAAGACTACCGGCGTCTTTTCAGCGATCACGAGGCTTCCAAGCCAGGTGAGAACACGCCCGTAACCACCCCCAGGGCCCCGCCCCGCGGGATAGCCCCGCCCCGGGCCCCGCCCCGCCCGCGCGCCCTCCAGGCCCCGCCTCTTCCGCCGCCCGAGTCCGGAGCGTGCGCGCACTGAGACGCCTTGCGGGAGCGAGCGCGTCTGGGAGCCCGCGGGCCGCGGAGCACAGCGGGTCTTGAGACCTGGGCCCGGGCCTCAGGTGAGCCTCGGTCTGGGGCGGCCAAGGGGTTCAAGTGTTGCGGGGAAGCCCGAGGTAGCCGCGGCTAGTTCCCTGAGGGGCTCTACTTCTGCGGGCGTGGGACAGGGAAGCGGGTGTGGTGGGAGCCGGGCGGCCCGGGTGGGTGGGGGTTAGGGTTAGGCACCGTGTGGGGGAGGGGGCGGGGGCCTTGCGCTGCAGTTTGGAGAGGCAGCACCTGGGCTTTGGGCTGGGGGCGACATCGGAGGGGGAGGGCTTGCAGGGGCGACGGATTGGGACCCGGCGGCTGCTCCGGAAGGTGCTGAGAGAGTAGCTTCTGCGTTGGGGAGGGTCTCAGAGGGAAGGTCACACCAGGTGCAGGGTAAAGGCCATTGGGAGAGGCCTTCCTCACCCAATAAAGAGGTCTAGGACGCCACCAGACTTCAGTTAGAAACCCTTGGCTTCCGGGGTTCCAACCCTCTCCCACTTGATTGCTTTTTTGTATTTGAAGAGCTTTCAATGTAGTAGTAGGGCAAAGGTTGCCGCTTGAATAGATTTAATTTAGCTATAGATCTACCATCAATTGAAGAAACTTATGAGCTAGTTAGGAAACACGAGGTCCTCCTGAGAGCCAGGTAGAACGCTGACTTTGCAGCTATCACCCTGTTCCTGTCAGTTCTGTTAAGAGCACTTTATTCTTCAGCATCAGGTTGCTTTTAGGTCTCTCCCTCCTTGCCCTCCTCTCTCCCTCCCCCACATTTTAAAGTTTTGTCAAAGGCAATTGCTCAGCGCGTTCTTTCTCACCTGCTTCAGTTATTTAGGTACCAGGAATGTTAAGGGTGCAATTAACATGGGTTGAGATTGATGGGGCAGAGATGCTTGCAGACCATGCAGCTGCTTTGTCCAATAATCTCTCTGCAGTATCTTGACATAGATCTGAAATTTCTTCCAGATAACTTAAGGTAATTTAGTGAAAAGGTGCTTGTTTTTAGCAGTGGCATTACAGGCCCTCAGGTAAGACCTGTCTTTATCATTTAAACATTTTGGAATGAGAAGTTATTACATTGCCACATTACGTGACTGCATTAAGTCATATAAACTGTCATCTGTCTGGATTATTATTCATTGAGGGATTCCAGGATTTGAAATAACAGTAGAGAGGACCTGATTCAGCTCCCCTTTGTTTTATGGGTAAGGAAATATTTGGCTAAGATAACTGAGATTACAAGTTGGTTATTTTGAGTAAGTGTGTACTGCACATCCCCCCCACCTCCCCCAACCCCTCACCCCCTCAGATTGGTAGGAACAGGAGATAGAATGGATTTAGCCAGGATTTGGTAATTAGTTCAAGTTTCCTGTGGTCCTGTTAGGTCCCTGATTCCAGTTCTCAGTGTTATGAAATGCTCTCTAACATGTTTCACTGTATGCTTTTCTAACAGTATTCAGTTATTTCAAGAAGAAGAAAAATAGCAGTACATTTACATGGTTTAAAATAACAGATGGGGGCCCTTCCTGGTGGCACAATGGGTTTAAGCACAGCAGTGTGAATCTATCTGAAGCCACTGCAGCATGAGTTCAATCCCCGGGCAGGGAGGTGACCAATATGGTGTAGCAGACCTCTCCTGACCCACCAGCTGCTCCCCTCAGCAGTGTATTTCAGTGGGTCTGCCTGTTCTGCTCCCTACTCTGTCTCTGGTGAACCCTCTCACCCTCCACATCTCTGGCCTGTACCCCAGTTCTTATATGCATAAATAAATAAAGCCTTAAAAAAAAAGTAATAGCTGGACCAACTACATATAGGCTGGTTGGCCACTGACTTTACTGTTTAGAGCCTCTGGAGTTTATGTGGACTAATCAAGTCTGGTAACAACACTTCTTTTCCATGATTTATTGATATATTGAGATGCTTGTATAGTGTTAACATATACTGTTTACAGTTAGGCTAACTTGCCTTTCACTTCTACCATTGAGGTTGGCAAGTTGACTTACTTTGTATCTTTATAGAAATAGTAATCCTACTTTGCAAGTTATAAGAATTAAATGAGATTTGTGAAAGACCTGGCTTCTAATGTGGGTACTTATTAAATAACATGTTATTATTTCTCCATTTGCTCATCTACAGGTACTTTCAGTAACATTTCTGTTATGAAAAAACAAAGAATTGCTAAAAGAAATTTGATAAGCAAATTGTGTTATAGTAGAAAGATTATCATTTAATCTGAATTGCATTTTGCTCATATATAAAATAAAGGTATAAAACGTTCTTTAGATTTGGGAGTTACTATAGAAGTATTTTGAGTAATGAGAGAACTACTTAATAAGATGAAAAAAATTCGGGCCCTCCCTGGTGGTGCAGCGGGTTAAAGCGCAGCACTGAGAAACTAAAAAGCCACTTTCACATGAGTTTGATTCCCGCCTGCCCAGGAGGTGACCACATGGCGTGGCAGACCTCTCCTGACGCCCCCGCTGCTCCCCTCAGCAGTGTACTTCATCAATCTGCCTGTTCTGCTCCCCACTCTGTCTATGGTGAAACCTCTCGCTACCCCTGAGCCTCTGAACTGTACCCCAGTTCTGTATGCACAAATAAATAAATCTTTAAAAAAAAAAAAGATGAAAAAAAATTCAGTTGAGAATATAGTCTGGAAAGGAGGGAGAAAAGCTGTTAATCTATAGTTAGGGTGTAAGAATAAGATATTAGATTTGAGATTGAATATTTTCTGAGCCAGAATATTTTTTGAAGGAGCATTAGTGAAAACCATATTTCTCTGGTTTCTGTCTTTCTGTCTTGAGGTATGACTGTCTGTATTTGCCTAGATTACCTGTGGATCATAAACAATGGACTCCTTGGACCATATGCTGACAGATCCCCTGGAACTGGGCCCATGTGGAGATGGCCATGGTACCCGTATTATGGAAGACTGCCTCCTGGGGGGCACCAGGGTTAGTTTGCCCGAGGATCTTCTAGAGGACGTAAGTAGTAAAGTCCCTGTTTTTTCCTTAATGTCAGCTTCCTGAAAGCTGCTATCCTCCACCTTTTTTCCCTTAACCCTCTAGATTTTTCAGTCTTCTGTGTTCCCTTCTTTTTCATTTTCTACATTTCAGCCTTAGGGATTGCTGTCACTATTTTTTGAAGTGTCAAAGCACTTAATATTTTGATCAAGGAAGAAATTGTAGGCTATGTTTTGCATGCTTGACAGCCTAACTTGATACACTATAAGCCCTGCTTTGAACAAAATATTTAGTAACAAGAAATTTCATATTTTCAGAGTATTAAATGTATTTTAAAATGGTAGCTACCTTTGTTGTGACTCCTGAGACAAAACCCAGACATACCATCTCTGTTCTCTAGTTCAGTTAATAGTTTGCACCGTGGGATGGCGTGTGAGCAGACGGTTGACCACTTTCACATCAGACTGCTAATCATCCCTACTTGATGCTATTGTTTATCAAGTGCTTACTATGTATAAGGCACTGTGTATGTGAAAACATGTAGTTACTTGCCATGTTTCAAGCATTCAGACATTGTAGATAAAACTAAAACACCACTTTGCCGTTATTATTCCCTCTCCTACTTGAGGCAGTAGAGGGAAAAATACTGAAGTTGATATATATTCTCTTTTTTCTTTAACCTAGTTTTTCAAGTAATTCTCTTTATGCCATTCATTTACTCAGTAAACACTTGTTTATCAAGTCCCTGCTTTATGCTAGATACTGACCTGCTAGGAGTAAAGTGGGGTGGAAACATAAGTTTGCAAGAGATCTTCGATCCTGAGCCTGAGGTGCACTGGCATGTGCAAGCACAGTTGCCTGTTCGACAATTGCATTTCTGGGTTGTCTTGTGGGTGGCTCTCCATTGTCCTTAGAGTGGAGTTCGAACAGTTACTTAACAGTATGCAGGTACTTGACACTGTTCTCCCCTCCTTGCTCTGTCTTTGTGCCAGCCAGACATTGCCTGAATGTTTACAGTTTTTTAATAAGAAAAGCATATAAGTTGTATGCATATACATATAGTTTAAGCAGTAATAAATCACCCATGTGACCACCACTTAGTTTAAGAAGCAGAATCCTACCAATGCCATTCAAGCCCACTGCGCCCCCTCCCTCCCTTTACCCCGGGGTAACTATTACCCTTTTGCCCCTATTATTAGTTTGTTTTTGTTATTTTACTCTGTAAATTTTAAACCATCCTGCCGCCAGTGTCTTTTCTTCCTTAGTATCTTCAATATCACTTTTTTGCCTCTAGGTGTCCTCTAACACCCAAAGTCTGAGATTTGTGTTTTTCTTAATGTGCCGATAGGTGAAGTTGGTAAAGTACTTTGTGACTGCTTATTTTAATTATGACGTCTTAAGCCCTATTGTAATTTCTGGTTAACTGTTCGTCCCCTCCAGTACTTGGTGTTGAGTACTCAGCACAAAGAAGATAGCCAGTGTATAACTGTTGAGTTGAAAACAAATTCTGTCCGCTGCTTCTCATTCTTAGTAGGTGACCTCAACTCTTCAAATTCTGTCCTCCCATTTTAACTTTTTTCTGCTGCTCATTTTAAATTGAACTCAGATATCCACCATAATATCCCTGTTGGCATAAATGGTTTCTGATAGGATTCTCTGCTGACATCATTTGCCTCTGGATCATTATTTTCTGTTGGTTGTATGTTTATGTGTTTTTATGTAGCCTTTACTAATATTTGAGTTTTGAGAGTTCTATAAAGATAAATGGAATTTCAGTTTGCTTAAAGAATTTAATAATGTGGGTGGTGGTATTAATTGCACAGCAGCATGGATATACTTATTGCCACTGAACTGTATGCTTAAAAATGGATAAAATTGTAGATTTTGTTGTACATTTTACCACTTAAAACACACAGTAAAGTTAGTTTTTTCTTGTTTACTTGTCTTTCTCCTGCTTTCCTGATTCTCTTAGCCTGAAATATTCTTTGATGTAGTCAGCCTGTCCACGTGGCAAGAAGTACTGAGTGACTCTCAGCGTGAACATCTCCAGCAGTTTCTGCCTCACTTTCCTGAAGATATTATTGAGCAGCAACATGAACTCATCCTCGCTTTGTTCAGTGGAGAGAACTTTCGATTTGGAAACCCTCTGCACATTGCCCAGAAGCTTTTCCGAGGTATGTGGCTCAGCATTCCTTTTTGAAAGAGGTAGAACAGGGGAGCACATTCTCCTTTGTGAATGCTTCTTCATATCATTCTGTTTACTCATGTATAGATCGATACTAATTTAGCCAAGAGTAGGTTTGTGCAACACTTTGATGCCTAGGCCAGTCTTTTTAAAGTTAATGCACATGGGAACTAAGTAAGTCACAAGTATATTACTAAGAGCTTTATATATATGACTTTGTAACCACCACAAAGATCAAGACATAAAGCATGACCAGCATTCTAGAGCTACCCTATATGACTGGTCTTAAAGTTTTTAAGGACAGCTTGCTTGCCATTTGCTCTGTCTTATGTGTGTTTGAGTGTGTGTGTGACATACATGGCTGTAGAAAGCATGGTACTATGCTGCGAAGCATTTCTGCATCTGGGTATATCTACAAGGACTGTCTCCCACGTAATTGCAGTCCTAGTGTCACAGCCCAGAAATTTCACATTGAACAGATGATATCATAGACTCTTCATGTTTGTGTTTCTTCAGCTGTTCCCAAAATGTTCTTTACAGTTGTTTTTTAAATTGAGCATCTATTCAAGGCACGTACGTTGTGTTTGGATCTCATGTATCTTTGCTGCCTGGCTCTGGCACCCTCTGCCCTTTATTTTTTTTAAACTTGTCTTTCCAAACATTGACATGTTTGAAGAGCCCAAGACACTTGAAATGTAAAGTGTTCTGCTTTCTGGGGAATTGTCACCTTATTAGATATGGGTTTATCGTTTTTGTTAACACGATATGGGAGAGGTTATTTCCCACTTTCTCTTTAGGAAGCAAGTGGTAACACTTTTTGCTCTGTTGGTGATGACATGTTTGATCACTTGATTCTGTATTGTTTGCTACGTGCTCTTGATCATAAGGACACCATGTTTCTTGTAACTTATGCATTACTCTGTAGCATGCTACTTTGGGACCATCTAATAATCTTACTTGTTTTAGTCGTTGGTTTTAGCATCTGCTGATGACCCTTTCTTGAGCTACCACATTGGGATTTCAAAATGTCTCTGGGCCATACTTAATGACAGTTGTCTGTCTTTAATGGGGAGGCGTGGAGAAACCTCTTTCTTTCCTGCTTTCTAGGGTGAGTTTGCTCTGGCACGAGTTTCCAGAAGGACAAAGCATCTTCTTGACTTTTGTTAACATGGATAGATTGATAGCTGCAAAGGACTGGACGGGAATAGTCTTTTAACATTTCAAACCTCTGATTATCTTAAGGGTTTAAAATTGCTGTTTCCTTCTTTGTTGGGTTATTAGTTTAAACAGGAATTATCAGTGTGGTGGGCAATGACCTGGCACTGAAACCAGGTTCCTCACATAGAAGTAAACTGATAGGGTCTGGTTGGCTTTGGAGGGGGCTTTATCCGGGGGTTTATGTAATGCTGCCCAGTGAGCTGGCATGTTTTCCCCAAAAACAATATGATGATCTGGTAAAGATATAGACAAAGAATGTCAAGGCAGGAATTTCTGCATATTTCACTCTGATCACTATTGTGTTTCAGTCCTAGTATTGCTGAAGAGAGTTGCATGATCATGGTTGTTATGGGTATCAGTCTCAACTGAGCTACCATTTTGGTATTACTTGACCTTTGGTTATCTTTCCTGATTTCTGTTTTAAATATTCACCTTTTCCTTAAGTTCCAGATGCTTATCAAACTCCATCAGCTTTCCACCTCCACCCCCACAACCCCAGCTTACTGTATTCATTTCCATTCTGACCTACTTTACTTGTCTCAGAGGAGGAAGGGTTTTTTCTTTCTGTTTAAGATTAACCTCTGCTCTTGATCCTTTCATCTTTGCCTCCTCTGGGACCTTGTTTCCTCAGTTAATAGTTCTCTCTATCCTGCATATTCACTCTACTTGGGTACTCATGCTCATTCTTTTTTAGCCTATAGATGTGTTCACAGACTTAAAAAAAAATCCTTTACCATCTCTTCTTTTCATTATCTTACTATTATAACTTCTCTCCACACTTCTTGAAAGCCCTCATAGTAATCTCTTCCACTTAATCTGTCCCTGTCCCCTGTGGTTTTTCCCCTTACTATTTCATGGCGACTACTCCTCCTAGCATCATTGATGACCTTTTATTTTTCTTAAACTTTTTACATTGTAAATTTAAAACCTAAGGAAAGTTACAGTTTGTAATGAACATCCAGTCACTCTTCACCTGGTTCACCTAATACTAACATTTTACCTACCATATTTACATTCACCCTTTTTTTATTACTACTATTATCATATTTTACTGGCCCATATGTATTTTATTATACTCATGCTAAATTTTCCAGCATTGATACCTGAAATCTAAATATACTTCCACATAACCACAAATGACCAAATTCAGAAATACAGAAAAGAGACATTTTCTATAAATTCTGTGTTCAGTTATAAAATTTAACATTGGCATACTGCAGTCTAGTATATACAGTCTGTTTTTGTATCCCACCAGTTGTCCCAGTTAACATTTGTTTCCTGTTCCATGTCTCTTCAGTGAGCATGTAATTTCCAAACCAGCAGATGCTTTTTGTTCTCTTCTGGATCTGTTTGAACATTTGCTGCCTTGATTGTCTCCTCTCTTGACATTTTCCTTCCTTTGCCTGTAGCTCCTCTTTGTCTTATACAACTTGCCTTTAGTTCCACTTTCTTTGCTAATCCCTATTCCAGTTATTGTTCTAGGTTACTCTCATTTAAGGATTTTTTCTTTCCTTCATATTTGCCTCTTCACTCATCTTTTTCTTAAAGATTTATTTATGTATACAAGAACTGGGATGTAGGCCAGAGGTGTGTGTGGGGGGTGGGTGGGGTGCGTGAGAGGATTCACCAGAGACAGAGTGGGGAGTAGAATAGGTAGAAGTACTGAAATACACTGCTGAGGGGAGCAGTGGGTGAGACAGGAGAGGTCTGCACCATGTGGGCTATCTCCTCGGATGGGGCTCGAACTCTTGCTACTGTGGTTGGCGATAGCCTGATAGTGCTGTGTCTTCAGTCCCTGCGCCACCAGGGAGGCCCTCAGTCAATATTTCTTCTTCAGTAACTCTTACCTGGGCTACTTCAGCAGCCATTTCAATTCAGCTACCACTGAGCTTCTTAAAACTTTACTTCTCCGATATTTATTTTTATATATTTAAAGATTTATTTATATATACATTCAGAACTGGAGTACAGGCTGTAGGTGTAGGGGGTAAGAGGATTCACCAGAGGCAGATTGACTGAAATACACTGCGGAGGGGAGCAGCGGGCCGGTCAGGCGAGGTCTGTTTCCCCATGTGGGTCAGCTCCTTGGCGGAGGATCGAACTTGTGCTGCAGTGGCTGTGATAGCTTCATAGTGCTGTGCTTTAACCTACTGAGCCACCAGGGAGAGCTCTCATATTTATTAACTGCTTTTCCTGGGAATGAAATTCCTAGCTTTAAGGTGTTATGTGACTGGCTTTTGTCTACTTATTCACCTTCATTTGCTATGACTCTGTTCTTTTTCTCTGCTATCTAGATGAATATTGGCATAGAAATATTACCTGAGCTCTGTGTTCCATTTTAAAATTTCTAGTTACCCATATTAAGAATTAGTAAATTAATCTTAATATATTTTATTTAACTCAGTATACCCAAATGTAACGAAGGTAAAACACTGAATGCTGTCAGAAAGTGAGGGAAAGTAAAGACTGAGGAATGAAGTTTCAAAGAAATTTGGAGGCAAAGAAGTAGACTGTTAATCCAATTTATGCCAGGCAGCATCAGTAGTATTGAACTCTTGGCTCTTTCTTGAAGGTTAAGTTCCTGTTTCCCAAATTCAGGCACCATAACATGGTGGTTCAGTGCTTGAATCCTGTTGCTGAACTACCTGGGTTCAAACATAATTTCTCCTTTATTAGCTTTGTGTGCAGTGAGCAAGTCAGTTGGCTTCTCCGTGCTTCAACTTCTTCATCTTAAAATGAGGATTTAGTAGTACATATTTTTTTTAAGATTTATTTTTATTTATGCATACAAGAACTGGGGTATAGGCAAGAGGTGCAGGGGGTGAGAGGATTCACCAGAGACAGAGTGGGGAGCAAAACAGGCGGGTCCACTGCTGAGGGACACATCTGGTGAGACAAGAGAGGTCTGCTGCACCTTTTGGGTCAGCTCCTTGGCGGGGGATAGAACTTGTGCTGCAGTGGCTGCCTATTGCATCATAATGCTGAGACTTAACCCCTTGCACCACTAGGGAGGCCCTTTGTCTCATTCTTTAGAGATCCATTTCTTGACTTTTACAATTGGCTAGTTGGTTTCCTTATATAACACTGTATATACTGTATATTGACAGTATAACACTGTCAATGTAATTATTTTCTATCTCCCACTGAACTTGTAGGTACCACACAGATAATTTCCTCCCCCATAAATTCCAGTTTAGTACCAGTTTTACCACATTTTGCACATGCATAAAATAATTGTTGATTGATGTGTATATAATTGTGTCTGTTCTTTTAAGATGGACATTTTAACCCTGAGGTGGTCAAGTACCGGCAGTTGTGCTTCAAGTCACAGTACAAGCGATACCTCAACTCTCAGCAGCAGTATTTCCATCGGCTGCTAAAGCAAATCCTTGCTTCCCGGAGTGTAAGTAATGTGCTGGTGGAGTGATCACACCAGTTTCATGACTTCAGGAAGTGGTTCAGTCTTTCCTGCCTGCCAATAGTTGGCACTAACTCATCCTCAAAGGGCCAGGACAGACAAATGGGACCACTGTCATCTTTATGGCTTCATTTATTTTGACTTTGATTTTTAGCTGAGGCATTATTATTATTTATTGTAGTTTATATTTTGCATAGGATAATTGGGGTATAGACCAGAGGTTGGGGGACGGGAGGGGAGAGGATTCATCAGAGACAGAGTTGGGAGCTTAACAGGTGGATCTACTGAAATACACTGCTGAAGGGAGAGGCAGGCGGGATCTGCTGTGCCATGTGGGTTTAACTCTGTGGCCAGGGATCGAACTTAGGCCTTAGCATTGATAGTGCTGAGCTGTAACCCTTGGGCCACCAGAGAGGCTCTGGGACATTATTTTCATTGGGATGTGTGTGTCATATACAATGTGTAAAAACAAAATAATTCATATACAAAATAGAAAATACTAAGAAAAGCACACACACTGCCTACTTTTTTTTTTTTTTAATAATGTAATGGTTTATTTTTACATCATTTTGTGCCTTTTCCATCTCAATTGTAATCCCTGTGGGCTTCCCATTACCAAATCACCCATGTGCCATCACCATAGTCCAGTGCACTTCCCTTCCCCCACCATTTTTGATCCCATTCCATCCCCATAAAATGTCTCTGGCATACAGTTGTTCATTATTATTTTTATTTTCTCCCCTGGTCCTTTAGACTCCTGCTATGAGTGAAACCATCTGCTATTTTTTCCTTTTCTTTCTGGCTTATTTCACTTTTCCAGCTCCATCCATGTTTCTCTTTTTTTGGTTGCTGAGTATAATATTCCATTGTGTATATGTACCACATCTTTTTTTTTTTAAAGATTTATTTATTTATTCATACAGAACTGGGGTACAGGCCAGAGGCTCAGGGGTGGTGAGAGGATTCACCAGAGACAGAGTGGGAAACAGAACAGGCAGATCGACGAAGTACACTGCTGAGTGGAGCAGCGGGCGGGTCAGGAGAGGTCTGCCGCACCATGTGGTCACCTCCGGGGCAGGCGGGGCTCGAACTCATGAGGAAGAGGCTTTAGATTCTCAGTGCTGTGCTTTAACCCGCTGCGCCACCAGGGAGGGCCTGTACCACATCTTTTTAATCCAGTCATCTACTTTTGGGCATTTGGGTTGTTTACATGTCTTTCCTATTATAAATAAAGCAATAATAAACATGGGGGTGCAGGTGTCTTTTTGAATCAGTGTTTTTGTGTCTTTTGGGTAGGTACCTAGAAGTGGGATTGCTGGGTCATATGGAAGCTTTATTTTTAACCACATGGCCTAGTTTTTAAGAAGATGTTTTTATTTTCTTACGTTGTTCATTTTCATAGAATATTTCTCCCCTCAGGTGTATTTCCCACCACCACATCACCTGTGAACCATCACTGTCGTCCCTTGTGTTCTTCCCTCTCCTATTTTGACCACTCTCCCTCTCTCTCCCTTGCTATATGCCTCATATCTATAGTTTGCCTGCAAGTTTTGACTTTTTTGTTTTTGCTCCTTTGTTCAGTTTCCCTGTATTCCCCTTATAAGTGAAACCATTGCTGTTTTTTCTTTTTCTTTCTGACTTACTTCACTGAGCATAATCCCTTCCAGCTCCATCCATGTTGCTATGAATGGCATGAGTTTATCTTTTTGATTGCTGAGTAGTATTCCATTGTGTATGTGTACCACATTGTCTTGAGGCCAGTCATCTGATTTTGGGCACTTAGGCTGTTTCCATACCCTTAGCTTCCATATCTTAGCATAGTGCAAGTTTCCTTTTGAATTAATGTTTTTGTGTTCTTTGGGTAGATTTCTAGGAGTGAAATTACTTTGTCATATGGTAGGTCCACTTTCAGTGCCTGAGGAACCAACCCCCACACAGTTTTCCATAGAGGTTAGAGGAGTTTCCATTCCCACCAGCACACATTTTCTAAGACATGATACAATTAAACTATTCTCTTCCTACCAATTTTAGGGTGTTCCCTAATTTCAAAGACATTAAAGCATAAAAGATACTATCGCCTCTTAAAATGTATGAAACATAGTAGCTTCAACCTTTTTTAAGATAAACATGACCTTTAGATTCTTTATGGGTTAGTAAGAACTGACTTGCTTTGAAATTAATGTGAAAGTGAGGTGCAGACTAAAACATGCCTGTAAATACATGGAAGCATATACCAAGCTCAGGGTGTAGACCAGCCTGGTAATTTCTTTGAAGCTGTTTTGGCTCTTAACTGGTTTTTTAAGCCTTGGTATGCAACTATTTAGGTGTCTAGTATTAGACGTATTCATTATCAGTGGAGTGGTTCACTTGTGATAGTTGAGTTTTTTTTGCAATATTAATACTTTTTAATTGGACATATTCATTTATGTGCCTCTTTCTTTTTGACCTGGATGGAGAGAATTGAACTGGGTAAACAGTGAAGAGAGAAGACACTGTGTTCTTAGAGAATGTAGCAGAACATGCCTTGCATGGTGATGTCCACTCCCGTCTCCTCTCTTCCTAGGACCTCCTGGAGATGGCCCGACGGAGTGGCCCAGCCCTTTCTTTCCGGCAGAAGCGCCCGTCACCATCTCGCACTCCTGAGGAACGGGAGTGGCGAACCCAGCAGCGTTACTTGAAGGTCTTGAGGGAAGTGAAGGAGGAGTGTGGTGACACAGCCTTGTCATCTGATGAGGAGGGTGAGTGTCTTTGGGCGCTTGGGTTAGCTGGGGTGTCAGATTTACACCAGCAGCTTGTGTGGTTGGAGCCAGAGGTAGTCATTTGGGCCCCAGCAGAGAAACCATTTCAATTGTCTATCTTGGGGGGTGGATACTGGGACTCAGATCCCCTTGGTCTTTGGCAAATGGGGTGTGACTACATACCTTTTTTAACCCTTGATGCTAAAGCAGCATTTGAGTAAAGAGGAATCCCTGCATGGCAGGGCTCTCCACAGTAGGCCTGTTTGGTCCTATTGTGCCACTTGAGAGAGAACTGCTTTTCCCCTTACAGGAGAGTAGTAGTGACTGTTGGCCTGCTGCAATGCGACCCCATCACTCTGTTGAAGTCTCTCTTCCTGGAAGAGCCGTTAAAATCACCTAAGTGTGCTCCAGTTCGTCTGGGGAAGGGTCAGAAAGGAATGGTGGAACCCTGGCCTCCATGTTTTTGGCTTAGCCTTGTTGAACCCAAATGGCCACTTACCCAATCTCCCCTATTGGAGTCCACAGCCACGTTGGATTTACAAGAAAAATTTTCTTTTGAAGATCTCAGCTCATGGCTTCCGAGCTCTCCAGCGCGTTCTCCTAGCCCTGCGGTGCCCCTGAGGGTGGTGCCCACGCTTTCAACCATGGATATGAAAACTGCAGGTGAGAGCTTCACTGGTGCTTTCACCATACTGGGAAATCAGGATGTAGACCTAAGAACTCTCTTAGACAGAGGTAGGTACTGAATGCCTATCTGCAAGAAAATAAAAGTATGTTCCTCAGGATTAAGAGACTTGGAGAAGTTTTCGTAAGACAGAAGTACTATTATACAAGGAAGTAGACCTTCTTCATTTGCTTTGCTGATACTTTGAACTAAAGAAAGCAGAATCTTAAAATGGCAATATTAAGGGGGAACTCTTCTAATGGAACAAAAGGGGTTATAGGACTTTAGCGATTTCTTTGAGAAATTAGAGAAGGATTTTTTAAAAAATAATAGTTTATTTTTACATCATTATGTGCCCTTTTCCATCTCAGTTGTAATCCCTGTGGGCTAGAGAAGAATTTTTAATTGGCGTAGAAAGCAAGGAAGAATGTCAAGAGCGATGAATGTGTTTTAGGAGCAGATAAGTAACTGAGTTCATTGTTATTGCTCAATGTATAGAAAATCTAAAGAAGTCATCGCATGACAGTTTTTAAATTGTTGTTATGAAGTACATAGGAATCAGGAGGAGAGTCAAAGGAATATCTTACTTTTGAATATCACAGGTGACCAGAAAGATTCAAACTTGAGCATTGAGGTCGTAAATGACCTAGTTCATATGGTTTGGTTCATTTCCTCTCAGATAAAATAGAACTGGGGGACAGTGACCTGAAGATAATGTTAAAGAAGCACCATGAGAAGCGGAAACATCAACCAGTAAGATTGGAGGGTGGGGTGCGTGTGCATCAGGGGTTGCCCTTTGTAAAGATAACAGGTGGTCGCTGCCTCACGCTTCTTCCCTTTTCATTGTTAGAGGACAGGAGCTAGACAGGAGCTAGAAGCTAGTTAACACCGAAGATATGGAGAATTCAAATACTCTGCCTTTTTCAGGCATCCTTAACACTGCCCATTTAGTCCGTGCAGTGGTGTTGGTAGATGAGTCTTTATATTCATTTAGCCAGTGCTCAGAGAGGTGAAGGAACTTGTCCCAGACCTACAGAGGGTTACAAAAGGGCTGCCACGCGCACAGCAGGAGCTGAGCCCACTTTCTGCTGTTTCTTTTACTCCATTCACCATGTCAGTAACACCACTGCAGCCAACCCCAGACAGCACAGAAGGAAGAAAAGGCACTGCATTTGATGCACAGTGGTTGGGGGGAGAGTCCTGTACTGTACGTCAGAACTGAGTCTTGTCTGTTTTCCACTCGGCTGTGGTAATTGTCAAATCCCTTAAACGCTGAGCGCTTTTCTCAGATTTTGTAAAATTTGCTACTTAACAAGACTTTTCAAGAGCACATAAGAGATGCAAAGGAGCTTTAAGTACTGAAAATACTGTTTGACAGAAAGGTTGGAACTGGGTTCTATGCTCCATTCTGAGATTTTTTTCTTCTGAATATTTTTTGACTCAAGATGATTTCCTCCAGTACACCTAACATCTAATTGTATGTAAATTGGTAACATGACTGTCAGAATTTGCTCTTTCTTTGTGCCTCTATAACAAATTTTTGTATGTCACACCTAGGATCACCCTGACCTTTTGACAGGGGACCTGACTCTCAATGACATCATGACTCGAGTAAATGCTGGCAGAAAGGGCTCTCTCGCAGGTAAGTGATGATCTGTGTAGGTAGCTACATTTCCTGACTGTGGTATTAAATTGCAAGCCTGTCGACATGGTGCATAAAAGAAATGAAACCGTGGCTTCCTTCTTGCTGATTTTTGTCTTATTGTTGCCTATTAGGGGTTTATAAATGGGAAATGAAAATAAAATCAGCACAACAGGTCACTGACTCTTCAGTAAATGTTAGCGATTAAGCTGTAAATCACTTACTGAGTTTGGTTAAAGAAAAACAAAACAAACACCAAAGACCTAGGTGGCTTCTTATTGAGACTTTACAGATCGCATTTGGGAAAATAATATTTAGATAAGCCCCTTTCTGGTAATAGAAAATGCAATTCCTTGTTGTGTGTTGGTTTTTCTTCCCAGCCCTGTATGACTTAGCCATCCTTAAAAAAAAAGTTAAAGAAAAAGAGGAAAAGAAGAAGAAGAAAATAAAAACAATCAAATCAGAGTCAGAGGATCTGGCTGAACCCCTAAGCAGTACGGAAGGGATCCCACCTCTGTCACAAGCTCCGTCTCCACTGGCAATAACAGCTATCAAAGAGGAGTAAGTGTACAGCAGATAATTACTGCCCTCAGATGAAAGAATTAACTGAGGGGTGTACCGAGCATTGGAGTGCTGTGTGAGCTGATTTGTGTTCAGCATGTAGGTCCTGAGTCCCAGGAATCCTGCCGGGGGAAGTAGCTAGTGTGACCCTTCACTGAGTGGCTGCCAGAAGGTGTGGAGGGCCTGAACCAGTCAAGGGTGTGTTCGTGGTCTCTTTTGGTCCTTAGGTTTTTCTTCTTTTACTAGGCCTCTTGAAGACCTCAAGCCTTGCCTTGGAATCAATGAAATATCTTCGAGCTTCTTCTCTCTTCTGTTAGAGATCTTGCTACTGGAGGGGCAGGCCAGCCTTCCTATGGTAAGAGTTTTGGGAAAAGTCAGATGTACATAAAAATTTTCAAATTGTAGAAATCATGGTCTGTAGCTTGAAAGTAAGACTCTGCAGCCAACTTGCTTTGTTACCAGGGCAAAGTGGACAAATAGACTCCAGCTTGCTCTAGCACATCCATGGAATTGTTGATGTAAAATAGAAATCTGCGTTCTCTTTTTATTTTCCCTCAGCTAGAGGAACGGGTTTTGGATTGGCAGTCATCGCCAGCCAGTTCCCTCAATAGCTGGTTCTCTGCAGCCCCCAACTGGGCAGAGTTGGTGTTGCCAGCCCTGCAGTATCTAGCTGGAGAAAGCCGTGGTAAGGTACTTTTTTTTAGTAGGGTCATTATATTTTGTTTCCCTTTGTCTAATTCTTACACTAAACTTCAACTTTACTGGTTTAATCTGTTGTTGCTTTGCCTAATACCATGCCTTAGCAATCTCTGCTGTCTTGAGCATTTTGAAACATTCTAAAGTTTGGAGAAGTTGGTTATTCTGAGTTTAGCACTCTCTGACCTGTGTGGTTTATTTGTGTGATCCTTATTTTGCAGCTGTACCTTCTAGTTTCTCTCCATTTGTTGAATTCAAAGAGAAAACCCAGCAGTGGAAATTGCTTGGTAAGTAATTCATTTCACATGACTGTGGTCGGAGAGCAGAATGTATGGGTTAGCATGAAAGGTATCCATGCCTCTGTGTTGCTGTCATTTGGGGAACTTTAAAAAAATCATTGCTTCTGGGCCTTATAGAGGTTCTAATTAATTGGCTCTGAGTCTTGATAGTTTTAAAAGTTTCTTGGTAAGTCTTGTTCGTAGTCAGGATTGTGAAACACCATTCAGGGCTTTTTGAAGGTGGAGCTATTTTAGGTAATGACAGAATCCAGTTGTGATGGTGGGAGCAATTGGCTACAGTGGAGTGAAGGGCTGAGGCCACTGAGGGAAGATAACTGAGGGGCTAGAATAGTGAGAGGAAATACCCACATGGTGTAGAAGTTACCCAGTTGAGGACAGGAAGCAGAGTAGTGAGGAGCAAGGTAGATGGTGCTCTCTGAGGAGCACTAGGTAAGTAACTGCAAGCAGCAGGGATGGGCTGGATGCAGATGGTTAAGGAAAGTCTCATGGAGCTGTGGCTTGTTTCCTTGTGATTTTTCAGAAGAGCTGGGGAGAAACAGTGCAGAATCAGTTATGGGGGAGAAGAAAGAAAGAAATCTGAAGGACATAGCTGTGGGGATATAAACAGCCAACATATCACAGGGTAGAAAAGTTAAGGAGAACCAGATTTCATACCAAGCAAGGAAGAGCTTGGTGAGAAAAGGGTTATTCTGTAGGAGAATTGACTAATTATGAAATAGCTTTTCTAGAAGGCAGAGTGGGAGTAAGTTGTTGTCAGAGATAGAAAAATTCAGAGCTTTTTGGGGCTGGTGGAATTGTGTATTGACTAGTAGAAACAGACATGAGAGTCCTTTTCATAAGCCTTTGAGAAGGATGGGCCCTGGAGGGCTGCATTCTTCATACCAGCAGTCCTGAGTGATAGTGGTCTGTCTAGTCTGCGCAGAAGTTACGGGTAGCATCTTGTGATAAGTTTTACCATAGAAGCCGAACCGGGTGACAGAGGAGCGCTCATCTGTTTGTAGGCAGCTGCTCAGAATGCTGCCTGGCATTTCTTAGTGCTGTACTAGTGCATAGTGTGCCTTGTGCCCCACCTGGCCAGAAGAAGCCTGTTCTAATACCCTCTCCTCCATCCTCCCAAAGATAGGATAACTTCTCCAAGGCAAACTTCATAGCATCCTTTGTGACACCTACCACTTCCAGATTTTTTTTTTAAAGATTTATTGATTTATTCATACAGAACTGGGGTACAGGCCAGAGATGCAGAGGGTGAGAGGATTCATCAGGGACAGAGCGGGGAGCAGAACAGGCAGATCCACAAAGTACACTGCTGAAGAGAGCAGTGGGCGGGTCAGGAGAGGTCTGCCACACCATGTGGATCTCCTCTGGGGCAGGCGGGGATCAAACTCATGCGGCAGTGGCTTAAGCTTCTTAGTGCTGTGCTTTAACCCACTGTGCCGCAAAGGAGGGCCCACCACTTCCAGATTTTACTTGATATATTCTTTCTTATGATGGCAAGCTCCATGAGGACAGAGACTGAATTCACTGAATAGTCCTCACTCAGTATGTAGTGCACTGAATAGCCCTAACCTCGTATGCACTGAATACTTTGCAAATACCAATTGGCATTCGGCACTAGACAGATGATTTAATTAGGTGACATTCAAGAGAGCTGTCCAGGCAGATAACAAATGGAGGGGCATTATAGGTCAAGGGGTAGAATGTGCAGAGGCCCAGTGCTGCCTATCCTGATAGTCTCTCCAGCACAGACAGAGCAAGCAAGGAGAGAGTGGGACTCTGAATGTATTTGATTCTTTTTTTTTTTGCCCTTTTGTTCTCATAGGCCAGTCCCAAGATAATGAAAAGGAGTTAGCTGCCCTCTTCCAGCTGTGGCTAGAAACCAAAGACCAAGCTTTCTGTAAGGTAAGGTGTTTTAAGATTTATTTATTTATGCATACAGAACTGGGGTGCAAGCCAGAGGTGCAGGGGTGGTGTGAGGATTCATCAGAGACAGAATGGGGAGCAGAACAGGCAGGTCGACGTACACTGCTGAAGGGAGCAGCGGGCGGGTCAGGTTCTGCAGCACCATGTGGTCACCTCTGAGGCGGAGATCAAACTCATGGTGAAGTGGTTTTAGCTTCTCAGTGCTGTGCTTTAACCCACTGTGCCACCAGGGAGGGCCAGGTAAGGTTTTTAAAGAAATACCAGGCAATCTTATTGCTGATAAAATCTTACTGCAATAAAGTTAATAAGAGCTATTCGGTCCATTTACCTTTTACCTGTTTTCCTTCTCTCTAGCAAGAAAATGAGGACAGCTCAGATGCCACAACACCTGTTCCTCGGGTGTGAGTATAATTCTCGTTGGTGGGTGGTGTCTCATGAAATCGTAGCTTAAGGTACAGCCATAGTTTTGCTGATGTTTCGTAGTGGGGAACGTAGAGATCCTAGCTGTCTGCTGATTCTTATCTTGGCTACCTTATAATAACACAGGCCTATCACTAAGAGGTGTGCTGTGAGGAAAGAGTTCTTAATTGGGGAGAGGTTTTGCATGCTAGAGTCTGAGGGGGACATGATCTACCTTATAGGTATATGTACTTTTTCCATGAATACTTTTCCTTCCTCTCCATTTAAAAGTAACTCATCGAATCCATCTTCCTTGTTTTACCCATGGAGAAATTGAGGCATGAGGTTAATTGACTTGATGAAAGTGTCAGGACCCAGGTTAGAATTTGAGTCTCTTGATCTCTAATGCTGAGCTCTTAATGCCACAATCTCTCATGTGTTTGTTTCCAGTCTGGTTCAATCCATTTCTCCCCACCTTTGTTGAAATACAACCTTCTGAAAGCTCTCATCTCACATCATTTTATCCCTCGTTGAGCTTTGTAAGAATTGAGTATTAACGAAGGGACTTTTTCACATTGTAAAGGGAATGGTTCTGGTTGCTAGAGAATGATTGATGAATGCTAACTTCTTACGTTCCAGAAGAACTGACTATGTGGTGCGCCCCAGCACAGGGGAGGAGAAACGGGTTTTTCAGGAGCAGGTAAGAAATAGCTAGAACCCAGCATAAATTTCTGTATCTATGAGCCTGACTGCTTGAGTTGAGGAGCTTCTAGCCTTAGCCATAGATATTTTGGTGGCTGGGGTTGTTGGCTGTGGGTGGAAGTGGTGTGAGGCAAAGGATTGAGAACTGTTAATGGTCTTTTCTTCCAGTTAGCATAATTTGTACTTACTTCTTTGTCCTTTCCTAATGACTTTGAGAATTACCTCTTTCCACTATGGTTAGATCACTATTTCTGATGGAATGGCCTATTTATTACCTTGGTTTTAATCTCTCCAGGTGCATCTGTGTTATATGGGAATGTTAGCGAGAGCTCCGCTTATTCTGACTCACAAGCCTTCTCCCTTTTCGTTGGTAGGAGCGTTACAGATACAGCCAACCCCATAAGGCATTCACCTTTCGCATGCATGGTTTTGAGTCTGTTGTGGGACCTGTGAAGGGTGTGTTTGACAAGGAGACCTCACTCAACAAGGCCCGGGAGCACTCTCTGCTGCGCTCTGATCGGCCTGCCTATGTCACCATTCTGTCTCTTGGTATGTGCCCTCTATTTTCAGGGACCCCTTTTTCCCTTCAACGGCAGGTGTAGCTCTGGGGACGCTTTGGAGATTGAGGGATGAAGAGGGAATCTTATTCAAAGATTTATGCCAGGAATCACAGTTTCTTTCCTGATGTCTGGGCTCATGTTCAACTTCGTTCAGGACTTGTTCACAGGCCAGCTGACTAGTGTAAGCATAGGAATTTACTTTCTTTAAAGATGAGGTTTTTAACCTTCTTTTGGTGCTAGAAGTCTCAGCAGCCTGGTGAAAGCTGTGGCCCCCTTCTCAGAATAGTCCCTGTAAATGCATAGAGTTACCAAAAAAAAAAGTCTTGCAAGTTATCAGAGTATTAAAGCAAACATAGATTACAGAAATGTGCTTTTGTTACTAGTTTCAATGACAGGATCTAATAGAAGGTCAGCTGCTCCAAATAGACACGAATGGATATGGTATTTTGAGTTGTAGCAGCTCTGTGTGCAGAAAAACCTGACTTCTCTACAGGAGCACACACAGCACTGCCAGTTAATATAGTTTTGTTACTTTGCTCATAATTGAACAGAATAGTAAGTTTTAGTTTAGCATGCAAGTTACTTCAGTTCCACTGAAGTCTCAGTTGTCATGAACTAAGTGGGATGTATAGGAAATGCTGGTGGCTCAGCTGCCAGCCCCTGGGGGCAGTGTCCTCCTATGCCAGTGTAAGCTAGAGAAGCAGCTCTGGAAGCTGGGCCCGCCAGTGAATAGAGGGACAGTGTTTATCACTAGAAGCCCTGCTTGATTCTTGAACTACCTTTCCATCTTCTGATTTCATTAGTTCGCGATGCTGCAGCTCGACTGCCCAATGGTGAAGGTACTCGGGCAGAGATCTGTGAACTACTCAAGGACTCCCAGTTTCTAGCACCGGATGTCACCAGCACTCAGGTAGGATAGAGAAGACATTATTTTTGTTGTGTTCCAGGTGGACATAAGAAAACTTGCAAGGAAATATACAGAAACATAATTTTTTTTAGAAATCTGAATGGGAAAGGTTATCTCAGGAAATACATAATGATGATCACTAAAGGTTGTAGTTTGCCTTCCCTTTCAGGTAACTAATTTCTCAAGACTCTGAGGGGGTCTCTTACTTTGCTGAATAACATAGTGAGTTATTGGAAGGGCCACCACCAGGCTGAGATTTGATCTGTTTATCAGCTGTGACTTCACCCATTGATTTTTCTCTGGGCTCTGAGTCTGACTTGTTCATTATTTGCTCTGGTTCTTAGGTGAACACAGTAGTGAGTGGTGCACTGGATCGACTACATTATGAAAAGGACCCATGTGTGAAATACGACATTGGCCGAAAGCTGTGGATATATTTACATCGTGACCGGAGCGAGGAAGAGTTTGGTGTGTGGGGCCTCTGTGCGGGCTGCATGACTAGACTGGGGGAGGCTTCGGACTTTCTGTCCCAATTCCATCATTCTCATCACTGGTATTTAGGCAGGACAGGACTTAGCCCACTGGTGAGCTCACCAGTGAGACCTTGCCTGTTACGTCACCCTCCTTGTTGTTAAAGCTTCCACTCTTGTTTACAGAGCGGATACACCAAGCGCAAGCAGCTGCAGCCAAGGCCCGGAAAGCCCTTCAACAAAAGCCCAAGCCCCCGTCCAAGGTGGTAAGGGACCTCCTGCAGCGCTGGCCTGGTGGTTTTGGGATGGCAGCAGTAGGCCTTTACTGAACTCAGTCATCGCAGGTGCTATGCTTGCCTTCAAGGACTGCCATTGAACCTGCAAGTGAATATCTCCTCTTCTTACAGAAGTCCAGTAGCAAGGAGAATTCCATGAAGGTCCTCAGCGGTGGCCCATCTGAGCAGAGCCAGATGAGCCTCAGTGACTCCAGCATGCCACCCACCCCAGTCACACCCGTGACCCCCACCACTCCAGCTCTGCCTGCCACTCCTCTCTCTCCTCCACCTGTGTCATCAGTGAATAAAAGCGGCCCTACCACTATGTCAGAACCAGCAAAATCCAGCTCAGGGTCAGTGCTTCCATTTCTTCTCCAACTTTCTTCCTTTAAAATCTTCTGTATGCGTATCCTAAGTTTATTTCTTATTTCCTTTCACTTTTCCTTATAGTGTTCTTTTAGTGTCTTCACCAACAATGCCACAGCTTGGAACAATGCTTTCCCCAGCTTCCAGCCAGACGCCACCACATTCTCAGGCTGCTGCCCGTGTTGTGAGTCACTCTGGCTCGACGGGACTACCCCAGGTGCGAGTGGTGGCCCAACCTAGCCTTCCTGCTGTTACTCAGCAGTCAGCGGGGCCTGCGCAGACACTGCCACAAATGCCAGCAGGACCGCAGATTCGTGTTCCCGCCACTGCTGCACAGACCAAGGTCATGCCCCAGGTACCAGAGGCGGGGGAAGGGGCGGACAGGGGCGGGGTGTCTAAAGAGCTCAGTAAGCAATCTGAGGAGGACTGAGGAGTCTTAGATTATTGCTGTTGTGTATCACAACAGCTCATGTAGTGTTAAAGCAGGATAAGCGTTCTTAAGTTACATCATACACATTGGGAACCAGAACTGCTGAAAAAGTTTAGTGTTTATTCATCCTTGATACGAGTGGCACATAAATCCAGCCGGTGATTCTGAACTCACACTTTCCCATTGTGCCTTTAAATCTTATTCAAGCCACTAACTAGTGTGATTAACAGTTTTCTGTCTCAGTTTTCCTTATTGTAAAACAGATATACTATATATTTAATCACATAGAAGATTAAATGTGAAAGCATTCTGAAGATACAGATATTCTTCACAAATATAAGACTAACATAATGTCCGTTTTAGAGAATAGTGAGCCGTAAGCATTGTTAGGTTAGAGGTAGTTTTCTTTTTTCCTTTTCTTTTTTTTTTTTAAGATTTTATTTATTTATGCATATAGAACTGGAGTATAAGCCAGAGGTGCTGGGGTAGTGAGAGGATTCACCAGAGACAGAGTGGGGAGTAGAACAGGCAGATCGACAAAGTGCACTGCTGAGGGGAGCAGTGGGGGCGGTTCAGGAGAGGTCTGCCACGCCATGTGGATCACCTCCGGGGCCTGGGATCGAACTCGCACTGAAGCAGCTGCAGCCAGCTTGCAATGCTGCATCCTCACCTGTTGCACCACCCGAGAGGGCCTGGAGGTAATTTTAGAGGAAGTCCTCCGGTAGGTTGTGCTGGAGATTGCTGGGTATGCTGAACTACATCTTAGTGTCTAATTAAGCTCTCCACATTACCCTCTGAACTAGACAGTAATGGCTACTGTTCCAGTCAAAGCTCAGAATGCAGCAGCCACTGTGCAGCGGCCTGGACCCGGGCAGACAGGCCTCACGGTGACGAGTCTTCCTGCCACAGCTAGCCCCGCAAGCAAGCCAGCCACGAGCTCACCCGGGAGCTCTGCTCCTAGTGCTTCCACAGCTGCTGTCATTCAGAATGTCACAGGACAGAACATTATCAAGCAGGTAGGTGAAAATCTCCCAGGGGATATGTCCTTTGTCCTAAAGCAAGAGTAACACTTAGAGATCTTGTGACAGGTATTTAAGCCATAGTTGATGGGCATGTCAAGTATTTTTTCCCACCAAAGGTAGTACATGCTGCGTAGGTGCTGAAGAGAGTTCTTGTTTTCTTTCTCTGTAAATTAGCTTTTAGTAGCTGAGTTCCTGTATTTGGAGTAGACTGTATCATGACTTCAATTAAAATTCTTTTGAGTAACCATGTGCATTATTGGTGTTTTAGCTTGCATTAGCAAAAGTAAAGGTATATATATACTTTCTTGGTTGTGAATATGCAGTGATACCATTGAACTTGAGAACATTGTTAGATTATATAATGCTGCCTATAATGCTTATTTTGTCTGGACTGTGGCTCAACATTTCATAGATATTAGATAATCCTCAACACTGTGGAATAGGCATTTTTTTTTATCCCCATTTTACAGATGAAGAAATGGAACAACATACTGATAAATGAATGTTTTCTTGTATTGGACAAGTATGTCTTGCTTTTTGTGTTGTAGGCTCTGCTCCAAGTATCGGCGATACAGTGTCATATTGACATGGATCAAGTCAAGTGCATGTTCTCATAGACCTAGGGGGCAAATAGTATTCAGAGAGTATTCAGATTTAGATATAATAATGGCAATGAAAAAAGTCTATAAGCAGAGGGAGGGGGAGCGTGCACTCTTTAAGATAGGATGATCAGAGAAAGTTCATAAGAGGAGATGAAATTTGCAAGAGAGATGAATGAGGTTAGAGTGTGTGCCTTACAATGTCTGGAGATAAAAATATTCCAGGCATAGGAATAGCAAGCGAAAATGCAATTGTCACAAATATGTTTGATGAATAACAGGAAAGTCATTGTGTCTAAAGCTTAGTGAGTGATTATAAAAGTGCTAGAAAGTGAGGGTGGGAGAGGTTGGCAGGGCTTAAATCATCTGGAGCTTTGATTTTAATTTGAATGTGATAAGAAACCATTGAAAGAGTGATGTGATCTGATTTACATTAAGTATCCCCTGGCTGCTGAGTGGAATGGACTTCTTGGGTAAGTGGTAGGTGGTCAGAGGTAGTCGCATCAGTGCAGGTAAAAGTTCATCAGTGCTGGCTTGTATGAGTAGTCATTGGACAGTGTGTGTGGAGGGGGGAGTGGGGGTAGGGTGGGGCTGGATGGTTACAGGTAGAACCAGTGTGGTTTTGTGATGGTTTGATTGTTTTGGTCAGAGAGAAGGGAGTCAAGAATGACCCCATGAGTTTGGCTTGGGTGACTGGGTAGATGGTGCTCTCATTGCCTGAGAGTACAAACACTGAAATAGGCACTCTGGAAGACAGCCCAGAAAGAAATGTGTCCTCATATAATCAGCACCTTTCTCTGGAAGTGTGAGGTGAGGCCTAAGAATTGACCATTCACTGAAAATAGACAGTGAATTTGATTGCATGCAGTGGAATGGTGGATTTTTAGGAATGGGCTCAAAGGAGATTGTAAGGTGAGGAAGTTGAGTCAGTAAGTATAGGTAACTTTTACAGCAGTTTTGCTTTTGAAGAGCATAAAGAACTGAGGCTGGAGGCGAAATGTGGGGTTAATGGAGTAAAGCAAGGATTTGTTGTCTTTTAAGATGGGAAATGTTAATAGCTTAATTGCAATCTGATGGCTATGGCACAGTAGAGAGAAAAATCACTCATGTGACAGGAAGTCCCTGAGCAGGCTGAAAGAGTCACATCTGTCACGTGCAGGGGATTGGCCTTTGGTAGAGGTTGGTATATGAACCTGGGCAGTCTGGCTCCAGAGCCCAACCATGCCATACTGTGTCAGGGAAATGTGAATATGTGCCGTTAGGTAATAATAATGGGTGAGTTTTTCACTTACCGTATTCTGAGAGGTTAGAAGTGTATGCAAAAGTATTGATTAGCAAAATGATATATCTTGGTTTACTTTAAAACATTTCAACGTCTCAATAAAAGGGAGGCTAAATAGATATAAGATATAGTAAGATTGACAACATAGGGCATTCTTGGTTGAATAGGGGTTAAGTCTCAGCACTATCAACCTACCGGCAGCCACTGCAGCATGAGTTCAATCTCCAGCCAGGAAGCTGACCCACAGTGTACAGTAGACCTATCCTGTCTTGCCCGCTGCTCTCGTCAGCATTGTGTTTCAGTCCATCTGCCTGTTCTGCTTTCTATAGTGTCTCTGGTGAATCCTCTCACCCTCTGCCCTTCTGGTATACACCCCAGTTCTTGTATGCATAAATACATAAATCTTAAAAAAAAAAAAATTGACAACGTATTACTTTTTTTTTTTTTTAAAGATTTATTTATTCGTGCATACAGAACTGGGGTACAGGCCAGAGATGTGGAGGGTGAAAGGATTCACCAGGGACAGAGTGGGGAGCAGAACAGGCAGATCGACGAAGTACACTGCTGAGGGGAGCAGTGGGTGGGTCAGGAGAGGTCTGCCACACCATGTGGTCACCTCCGGGGCAGGCGGGAATCGAACTCATGCGGAAGCGGCCTTAGATTCTCAGTGCTGTGCTTTAACCCGCTGCGCCACCAGGGAGGGCCACAACAACGTATTACTTTTTGAAACTGGGTGATGAGTATCTGGGCTTGTTACACTACTACCTACTTTTGTTGCTTACCACTTACCACTCAAGATGAAAAGTTAGCCCGTGAAGTGTACCTACACTTGAAGTGGAGGTTTGCTTACTTACACTGAGTAACCCACTTGGTGGTGTGAATCCTCGTGTCAGTGCTGTTTCTTCCCCATCCAGGTGGCAATCACTGGGCAGCTGGGCGTGAAGCCCCAGGCAGGCAACAGCATTCCCCTCACAGCCACTAACTTCCGTATCCAGGGTAAGGATGTATTGCGTCTGCCACCCTCTTCCATCACCACAGATGCTAAAGGCCAGACAGTTCTGCGAATCACTCCGGACATGATGGCTACCTTGGCTAAATCCCAGGTTACCACAGTCAAACTGACACAGGACCTCTTTGGGACAGGAAGTGGCACTGCAGGCAAAGGCATCTCTGCTACCTTACACGTCACTTCCAATCCAGTCCACGCAGGTGACAGCCCTGCCAAGGCCAGTCCAGCCAGTGCCCCTTCATCCACTCCGACAGGCACCACCGTGGTCAAAGTGACTCCTGACCTCAAGCCAACAGAAACCTCAAGTTCAGCATTTCGCTTGATGCCAGCACTTGGTGTGAGTGTGGCAGACCAGAAGGGGAAAAACACAGTGGTCTCCTCAGAAGCAAAACCAGCTGCCACCATCCGCATCGTTCAGGGCCTGGGAGTGATGCCTCCCAAAGCAGGCCAGACCATCACAGTTGCAACCCATGCCAAGCAGGGGTCCTCCGTAGCCAGTGGGTCTGGAACTGTCCATACGTCAGCAGTGTCCTTGCCCAGCATGAATGCTGCTGTGTCCAAGACTGTGGCTGTGGCTTCTGGGGCTGCAAGCACCCCCATCAGCATCGGAACAGGAGCCCCCACTGTGCGACAGGTCCCGGTCAGCACCACAGTTGTTTCCACATCCCAGGCTGTGAGTAAAATTAGTTACCCCTAACTCATTTTCCTGCTTAGGAAATTTCTTTATAGTAATGGAAATTAATCAGAAGCCCTTTCTGTCTCATCTCTTTCAGTTCATGCAGGCTTATTTTACTAATAGACTTTGAAACAAATTTATGAAAATGTAATATACATGTACATTCTTATAAACTATTAAAACAGCACAGAGGTGTATTAAGTAAAATATAAAACTTCCGTTACCACCTTTTAGTTTTTACTTAATGAAAACTAGTACTGTTAGTATTCTGGCATTCTTTAGTCCTTTTCTTGAACATTTTCACACAGAAAATCCTTGTGAGAGAGCCTTATGTAGTCTGTGATTTGGTTTTAAATTTATTTAAAAATATGTCTTGTGGATTATTATAGATCCTACACAGATATGAATTGCATTCTTTTTAACCATAGCATGGTAGTCCATAGAGGGGCTGCGCTTGAACCATTCTTCTATGAAAGAATGTATTTCCACTGTTAAAACCAGGGCTCTGGTAAATGTTCCTGCGAGTTACTCTGAACATGTCACTGTTGTGGAGCAGTGGTCATGGAGGTGGTCAGATTGAAAGTTTTGATACTCTGTGCTACCAGAAGGCCATACCAACCCTCACTCCATCTTCCAGTCTCCTGTTCTATACCTAACCTGTGTGGCCATTACGTCCTTGTTTACTTTTTTGCTTTCACTTTCCTGATAGAGACTTCACACCCATTCCTATGGGAATTGGCATGTGCTCCAGCACTGAACAAATCTTGCCTTTTTTCCTTCTTGGGTATTTGTTTTTTCATTGTTTGAGGTGATTATTTTTGTTTCCTGGTTGTTAATTCTTTGTGTGGAAAAGGTTTTCTTCCATCCTCTCTCTTTTTAATCCTTTGTCTGGAAAATCTTTTTGCTCTGCAGCTATTTTGTCTGATTAGATCAGTCAACATTGTCTGATGGTCCTAGTTGTTGTGTTTTGTGCCTTTCTCACACCAGAATTATAGAAGTATTAGCCTTTATTTTCTTAAAATATTTTCACTTTTAAGGAAAGTATACTAGATAACCTATCTGAAATATATTTTTGTGAATGCCATGTGTTAGCGATCTCATGTCATAATTTTACTATTATTCTAGTAATATTGACTAGTATAGTCCTCCCAGCTAACTGGAAATACATTCATCAGAAACCAGTTTCCCACATCAACATAGGTGTGTTTCTGGGTGCATGTGTATTTATTCTTTAGCTTCTAGATAAGGAACACTGTTCTGTATTATGGGGTATACAATGAAAGTATAAAACAGAGTTCTACTTTCCTAAGCAAGTTGTATAGTAGAACCTCATAATTCAGATAAAAGCCAGAGTGATGGAGTAAAACTAATCAATGAACCCTAAAATACAGTGATTTACAAGGAATCTTACCAAGCTTCTTATATCACAGCAGTTGAAATAAGGAAGCAAGGAAATAGCACTGACTTGATCCACTTTCATCTCTCTTGAACCTCCTTACACAGAGAGGTGGTATCCAGTGGCATCCACCCTGTTGTAGTTAATTTAGTTACTGATCATATAACTGGAGAACATTTGGCGAGGCAGGAAATATTGAATGATGTTTTTCTTGCCCCTGTCTAGTCAGATAGGGTACTTCCTGGAGGAATAATTCCAATTGGTGTACTGATGGTCTGAAATTTTTCAAGCAATAAAGACATTCTTAATAAAATCACAAATAAATGTATCTGGAGGCCCCACCTTGTGTTCTGTTGCTTCTTGACATCCTTAGTGCTTTCTAGTGGGCTACAAATTATGAATAACCTGGAGCTGGTGTGGGGACCTGAGGATCAGGTTTTGTAACTGAGTGCCTTACTACGCCAGGACTGGCTTGCCTATAGGCAGTTGCAGTGCTATAATGTCCTGTCAGCTGCCCTTCTTGAATCATTTTGGAGATCAAATTTATACATGATTTTACTATATATAAATTTTACTACCAACCAAGGGTTAAAAAAACAGGCAAACTCAGAGTCGACTCAGTGACCTTGTCTCAGCCTCCATGACGTCCCAAAGGCTCTAGGCATTTTCAGTTTCTTTTTTGTTCTTAGGCCTTACTAACTTTATAGCTGAGCTTATTACTTGGTTGAGTTTATTAGTGTTTCCGAACTAACCTCTGTTATTGCTCAGAAAAACATAGCACATGGGAAATGTGACCTGTTCGTAATCTAGCCTGTCACACTGTGCCCTCCCCCATTGAGCCTGCCTTCCAGTGAAGCTGTAGTTCTCAACTTTGCCCTTCTCCATGTTTACTTCAGTTACTCTTTGCCAAGCTCTGGGGGGTACACAGATGAGTAAGGCCCTCAGACTCTCAAGTGCTTAAGTGAACACGCGTGTTCCTTTGATTTAGGCACCCCTTTAATCCTGATGAGAGCAGTTGTACGTAGTTGCTGCTACTTTAGGTAGCATGAAAGAGGGTGATGGTAGATGATGCAATACCTAAATGAAGTACATGAGTACTTAGCTGCAGCCTGTGGACAGTCTCATGATGGCTTTCTGCCCACACTGCAGCAGTTGGGACACACAGGACAGGGAGTGAAAGCATGGGGTGTCTGCTCACTCTTGGTACCGTGTAGATCACCCTGGTGGCTTTCCTTGTCTCTTTCCCATGAACCTAGTTGTGTTTTCTCTTTAGGGGAAGCTGCCTACACGGATCACAGTCCCGCTGTCTGTGATTAGCCAGCCTATGAAGGGCAAAAGTGTGGTCACGGCCCCCATCATCAAAGGCAACCTGGGAGCCAAGTAAGTGCTGCTGTAGTAAGGGGTGGGCAGGCTTCAGCATGGGTCCGTCCCAGTGGAAAGGCAGCTGGATTTTGTGGGCTTCTGCCTTGATTGTTCTTCTGTGTTGTGCTCATCAGTCATAGTTTAGTGTTCAAACTTGTTAGGGTGCTAGGGAGACCGCAGTGATTAAAATCAACAAACATCTAAGCTGTCTTTAAGATTACACTGTTGAGTGGGGAGAAAAACAACCATAAAACGCAGCATGGGGTGGTCTTGCATACTTTGGAGAAAAATCAAGGCAGTGCTGGGATAGGGTGGTGACATGTCTCTGATGGTGGTTTCCAATGTGGGTGTTAGGGAAGGCCCCACTTTGAAATTGGAGTCCTCTGGTGTGATAGTTCAGAGGATGAGGGCTTACTTGGGAGCCTCCACTTCCTTTGTCCTTGGCTTAAAGAGGGATGAAGGGGCGTGATGGCCTCAGTCTGATGCTCTCACAGCACTTGTTTTGGGAGAGGGTTTATCATCAGGAGCACGCAGCTCCTTGTCCATCTTGCTGATTAAGGTAAGAAAATCAGAACCATTTTATGCACAGCACTGGGAGCTTTGGGACTCACTCTTTTGTCTTGGGAAGCACAGAAGCTGAAAGAAAGGTAGTCTTATCCAGCTGGTTTTCATTTAGCTCAGAAGACTAGAGTTTTTACTGGGCACCAGTAAAAACTAAGATTAGTTTGCCTAGTCCTAGACCAGAGATGATAATCTGTCTTATCGTGTGCTTTCTTCCTGCTTTCCCTCCGCAGCCTCAGTGGGTTGGGCCGTAATATCATCCTCACCACCATGCCAGCAGGTACTAAACTCATTGCTGGCAATAAACCTGTTAGTTTCCTTACTGCCCAGCAGTTGCAGCAGCTTCAGCAGCAAGGTCAGGCCACACAGGTAAGGTCTAAGGTAAACTATTTGCCACACCAGGCTACTCTCTCTTTGCTCTTTGTTCTCCAGTGATTAGCCTGTTTGCAATCCAGTAACCCACATTCTAATATTTCAAACAGGTGCGCATCCAGACTGTCCCCGCATCTCACCTTCAACAGGGAACAGCTTCTGGTTCCTCCAAAGCCGTTTCCACCGTTGTTGTGACTACAGCTCCATCTCCTAAACAGGCACCAGAACAGCAGTGACTCTGAAGGAGAAAGATGGCTTCCATAAAAGCCCAGACTGGGTCTGCCCTTCTGGCTGAACAGAGGGGAGCAGGGGTGTTGCTTTATTCCCCTAAGTTTGTCTGTTTACAGAAGACAGTCATGGGATGATAGCAGCAGTGACTTGGATTCTGCTTCCACACTCCACAGTGGAGTATGCTGAGCAAGGTTCACTCCAGGGTTCCAAGGTCACTTCTGTACTGATCCAGGAGAAGTTTCTCTGTTAGGATTGCGTGAGGTCACAGTCGAGTCCCACAAGCCAGAGTTCTCTCCTGTGAGCACGACCCCAAGGGAAGGCTTAAAGTTGCAGAGTGTGTGTTGTTGAGCCTCATTCTGTATGTGGACTGTACTCTTTAGCTCCCGGTCTTCTCCGGGACTAGTGGTCTGGATAGGAGTTTTGTTTCCGGAGATTTTTATGTAACTTATTTTTTTAAAAAACCTGTTGTATATCTTTATCAAATATAGAAACCTGGACTACAGTCCTGTCTCCTGCGTCTTCCCTAACCCCAGCTGGTCTTTTGACCAGGGTGAGGGAATAGCACGATTGCTAAGCAGCTGCTGGCTGACTTGGAACGACATGCTAATGAGGATACTCTTAAGATGAGAAACATAGGAAGCGAGCTAGATTGGGTTTCCTGAAACAGATTAGTTTGGCACTACCTCCTAAAGATCGGTTATCAGGATCATGGCTGTGGATCTGCTCTTTACCTGCCCTGGCGTCCTCATCAAGCCAGTTCACGAGCAGGTTCAGAGCCAGTGGACAGTGTAGGCGAATGCTTGCCACGTGCTGCTTTTGCAGTGCAAACTTTATTGCAGTTCAGAGATAGTATGTTCCACCTTGCTCAAGAGCAAGACTCAGCAAATCACAGCCCTTGGGCTGACTACTTGTTTTTGTAAATAAAGTTTATTGGAACACAATCCACTTCCATTTGTTTATGTTGTATACTTGCTCTCAATTAGGTGGAATTAAGTAATTACCATGGCACACCCCACCCCCACCCCCTGGCCTAAAACATTTCTTAGGTGCGTCTTTTTTTAAGTTTTTTTTTTAAGTTTTACTTAAACTTTGCTTTATAGTGCACATGATGAGAAGAGAATTGGGGGTGTCCGCCACAACTACAGGCCCAGATTCCAAGCCATTTAAACTTACCTGTTGCATCCTTCTCAGCCCCCACCAAGCTATAGACATAGCTCAAAACAATTATTTTAAGATGCAATAAGTGCTGTTTGACAATATATGCCTCTCATATGGAGCAGGGGTTTAATGGTGACACGGCTTACCTGTCTTGAAAGTATCCAGGTTATTAGAAAGGTGTGTTTATTGTGTAGAAATTTAGTGATGCTTTTTTATGGGGCCTGGGTGAGGAAGTGGGAGTCAGAGGACAGAGGATTGAAATGGCCTAGTTTTAGATGGGTTAGTGGGTGGAGTTAGGTGATTCGGTAAGCTTGAGAGGAACAGGCTAGAGTGACTTGCCAGTTACATGGTGGGTTTAGACATCTTGTTCAGTAGCAGGTCTGTAAAATATGCATGACCCCTGTTTTTACTGAGAAAATGCAAGTCTGAATTGAAGTGACGAGAGAACCAAGATGTAAATGCAGACTTCCTGATTCTAAAGTGCTGTTTCTGCTGCCTTCCTGAGGGGAGGATGGCTGTCTCAGATGGTGAGATGGGAGGACAATCCAGTCGTCAGCCTGGACTGCAAAGAACACAGGGGAATTGATTGAGACTGAGATTTTAGTGGGGAGAGGACTGGCACAGAACTAACATTGGTGATGGTAAGAGGTAGGGACTGTAGGGAAGGAAGAAAATGTTCTTACTAAAGGAGAGTTCATCTTTGTTTCATTCTCCAATTATTTGCATATAATTTCTGCAGTTATATTTTACATGAAAAGTCCACGTGCCAGTTACTAAATGAGAAAAACGTACAAATTTGAGGGACCCTGTCCCAGGTATTTACTGTTGACTAAACAAAGCTGTTGTGAATTTACTCAAAATGATTTCTAAAAGCATTCAACCCATCCCATACTTTGATTACTGTGCCCAGCTCCTTTAAGATATCTCCATCCTAGGAGAACAGCCGTGTTTTCAGGATACCAGTGTGGGATTGGCTCCTTGCTAGTTTGGTTTGGTACTGCCCACCGGTGGGTGGGGTACTATAGAAACCCCCCCAACTAGAGTTGTAAAGAGATGTCACCAACATTGGTGCCAAGTTTGGGTTCTGAGTACAGACTTCAGAAGTCTTAGGAGAGCTGTTGTAGCTATAGAGGTATTTGGGGGGAACAATTCCAGAAGAATTTGTGGCAGCCATTGATCCTCTGAATATTGTTTACAGAGTTTGGTAAAATATTCAGAACATGTGTCTAATACTGGATTGGGTGATGAATAGCATTATGATGAGTTGTACTTTGATGCCACATTTATGTTTATGCCAGGGTCGATCACTTCTGTGAAGGTAACCAAATCAAGATATTAATATTTTTCTAGCTGATCATCACATATCAACCCCTCACTGGAGAAAACACATTTTCTTAAGGTATTACTCGTGCCCACACCCCTAAATCTTTGCCATGAAAGATCTTTGCTGTGGAGATCTTTGCTGTGAAAGTAAAAGTGGAAATAGATTCCTTCTTCCTATACCCAGTTCCTAAGTAAAGAGTGAGTTTTACATTAATTGCAATTCTCCATATTTGTTGAATGAGTGTTTGGGTTTGTACTTAGCAGGCAAACCAAAGTGGTTCCTCGAAGGGGACCCACAGATTCTCTTCTCATAATTGGTGTTTTTAAGTAGTTCATTCTTAATCCCTAAATTGTGACTTCAGCTCTGAAATACTGGCTAACCACAGAAGGTTACCTTTCACTGAAGTACAATGTTTCTTCAAAAGAGTATGCAGTGCTTTATGGAAGTATCTGTACCAGACTTGTGCAGAGTAGCAAAATATAAGCTGGCTTTTGAGTCCCACTGCTTTTACAGCTTGGTAGTGGTGTGACTTTAGGCTAATCATCTTTTCTGAAAACCCTAATGTAATCATTACAGTGACTGAGAATCAGATGAGATTCAGAATGAAAATGCTATACAATTGAACAGTACTGTTGGGTTCTAAGACCTTTTCAGTTTTGTCCTAACCCACTTCTATCAACTTCAGAACCTAATACTTTTAATTCTCCAGGTTCTCCCATGGTTTATTGCCTTGTGCATACTCTTCTAGGTCTGGAATGTACACACACTAGAGGCAGACACACATTTCTCCTTCCCGTTTGTCTCATGGTAATTATCTGTCACTGCTTGCATTTCCCATTAACTGAATTCCTTGCTGACCTTCTATTTCAGTAATCTTTACAACCACTTCAGTACTGGTGCAAAGTAGACGTTTAATAAGTGTTTGTTGCAGTTAAAGGAAAATCCAGTGCCAAGAGTAGCATATCAAGACTTCCTGTTCAGGATTCACGATCTCTGCAGGATTCTTATCCTTTGCTCTCAACTATATATAAATTCAAAGCCTGCCATAACCTGACTTTGTTCTCTCTACCTCATTGCTAAAGAGTGGTCAAGAGCTTAGCAGCAGTGGTATTGCATTACTCTGGAATGGCAAGGTTAGCCAGACAGCAGACTCAAGGTAAAGTGGAAGCTGTTTCAAACCCTCCCACCCAGCCCAGTACACTCCCAGTCCCTTGCTACTTTACTGGCCAGAAGATGTTGAACAGTATTTAAAATACCAAAGCTTGTGAATTGTCTTTTAAAAAGAAAAAAATACATGTTGGAATGTATCTCTAAAATAAAGGCACTGTCATTCACTTTCTGATAAGAAGATATCTGCTTTTTAAGAAAAAAAAAGAAAGGATTATCAAAAGCAGTAAGTTCTTCGGGATCCGTGTCTTAGATTCATCATTAGGCCACTTACTGTTCTCAAACTTTCAGGGTCTTTGGTTTCTCTTCACACCAAAACACAAGGCTTCCTTCATTTTTCTTTATGGATACCACCCAATACAGACCCATTAATTAAGTGAGAAGACTCCGATACAGAGCATCCACCCACAGCATTCATGTGGAGAGACACTGCTCCTCTGGTCATTGCGAAGAGGGACAGGCCCAGTTCTGTGGATGGCTGCTGACGCCTCACTCCTCATCTGAGCCATTCAGGAGGGCTGTCTGGTAAGTGTGTTTTGACTTCAGCTTCTGAATCCCAATGATTTCTCCTCTCTGTCTCTTTAGCCGAGTCATATAGCTGGCATAGAGAAACAATAAGCAAATTAACTAAACCTTCAGGTTTCCCTAACCCCTCACCCAAAAATGTGTCAGCATTTGTTCCTTCTTGAGGCATTTTTTTTTTTTAAGATTTATTTACTTATGCATACATGGCTGGGACACAGGCCAGAAGTTCCCGGGGATGGATTCACTAGAGACAGAGTGGGGATTAGAACAGGCAGATTGACAAAGTGCACTGCTGATGGGAGCAGCAGGCCAGACAGGAGAGGTCTGCCTTGTCATGTGGGTCACCTCCCTGGCTGGGGATTGAACTCATGCTATTGTGGCTATTGTGGCTGCGATAGCTTCATAGTGCTGTGCTTTAACCCATTGTGCCACTAGGGAGGGCCCTGGTTCTTGAGGCATTTTATTTATGGTCATATCAAATACTGTCTACAAATCAAATACTGTACCTACCCAAAGTTCTTGTCTCGGTATCTGACAATACCCATTACTAAAGTTACTGGTAATATTTAATGGGTAATGTTGTAATTGAAACTAAACTTAGGTCTCTGCCTCCTAGCTTCTTATTTCACTGACCTGGCATTGGAATTAAAAACAACTGATCTTGGGTCCCCTTTTGTTTGTTTTACACTCTGAGTGAAGTGTATCTGCTTTGGATAGAGAAATCAGGAACTGAAAAAAAGGGGTGGCTTGATAACAGCTATTAATACCATGCACGAAAGGTCATTCTCACATTGGCTAAAGACTGGGGCTGCACCATTTATTTGTTCGGTGACCTTGGTCAAGTTACTCAGTCTTTCCATGCCGTGGTCTGTAAAATATTAGCGTACACACTTTATAAAGCGATAAGGATTAAATGGGGTAATACACTCCACTGTTTCCCACAGTGCCTGGGACCCAGTGCTTAGGAATTGTTAGCGATTATGATGTCCTCTGACAATCACATTAGGCCACACCTGCTACTTGCTGCTGTGGTGTCTTACCTGTCACATAGCTGGAAAATAGGCAGAATGGATCCCAGAAGAAGGTTATGGGCTCAGAATGAACTGGTGATGACAGGGACTGCAGTGCAGTGCCAGTGGCCTATTTCGGGTTTCCTCCTAATCACACCATGGGCTTAAGTCTGTCAGCTGATTTGAAATCTGACTCCATTAGGTTTGTGTGACCACTCAGGTCTTTGAGCTTCTCAGAGCTTCATCACCCTCATTTGCAGGTGTAGAATACCTTGCATAGAACAAGGCTACAGTCGGGCACCTGTTAAGTAGTGGGAGCTCGCATTGCTTAGTTATGAGAAGTGGAAATAAAAATCATGCACTATAGTGAATTCTTGGGGTTGGGAGGGAAAATCTTGCCAAAAGTCAGCTTCTGTCATACATACCAGTAAACCAGAAAGTAGTTGGTGGCCATGATGCAGATGGAGGCCAAGTAATGCCAGCAGAAGCACATGGTGATGAACATGATGTTACCATTGTCATTCTGGTCCCATTCAGCTGACCCAAAAGGTGGGAACAGCACAAATCCAATCTGGTGGGTTATAGAGAGAAGTGGGCCTTGTCACTTGTCAGTCCTGAGACACAGCCTGGCCCCCTCTTGGGCTGCTTAGGTGTCAGTATATCCCCCATTTCCTCCCTTGTACCCCATCTCCTTTGCATTTAAAATGACATTTTTGCACAGGAAATTGTTCTAATTCTGGAGAATAGGGTTATTTAAAACAATTTTAGGGCTCGCATTTCAAGTTTATAGTGTTTAGCAAGTGGGGCCTGAACATGGTGTCAGTAGCTCCTCTGGGGAGTGCAAAGAAATCATCTACTTACTGTATATGCCCCCCAGATGGTGCCTGTTAATGCATCAGCAGAATGGGAATAGTAGAACCTCTGAGGTCAGTTGGTAGCAGAAGGGCAGGCGGCATGAACACACCAGCCCTACACTATGTCCTATGGTATGTCAGTGCTGCGTCTTCAGGACTCACGCTCAGTGGGGCTCCTTTCCACTGGTGAGGAGCATTACTTTTGAATAATTAATTACCTGCCAGAACCAGGTACCCTGCAGAATAACGAGACTGGTTCGGAAAAGTTCCAGCACAACATTGTCCCGAAGGAATATCTCTATGAGGCTGCTGACAGCCCCAGCGAACACCGCATACAGCAGGAGCGAGTGGATGTGCTGGTCCAGTGGTGGTCGGTGGTGAACATGGTAGTAGAAGAGAAAACCTGCCACAAAGCATGTGCAGCTGTCAGATCTGCTTATCTCTACTTCCGGGGATTTGTTCTGGACATTTCCCATTAATTAAAATCTCGTCCTGTGCTTGTCTCCAAAACATACTTTTCAACATTCAGCGTGTCCTTACATATAACATACAACAAATAGATGCAGATTATTTCATATATGTGCATTAGCTGAATATAAGCAGCAAAGGATGTATCTTTTTTTAATCCCTTTTTTTTTAATTATTACAAAAGTTTATTTTTACATCATTTTGCACATTTTTTTTTTCCATCTCGATTGTAATCCCCGCGGGTTTCC